ACTGTTTTTTGTGTCTACAATCCAGTTTACGTTACAATAGAAATACCTACTCTACGATACGTGCCTGAAGTCGATCGGCCTGGATTCCATTATCGATTTATCTATTATAGTAAACACATATAATATTTTTTAATAGAGGAAAGAAAAAATTTGATCCATAATGGAAACGCAACCAGTAACCCGTAGTGGCAGCAAAAAGCCGATGGTCGTTTCGGAAAGAACTATGCCCAGTAGTGGACTGCAGTAAGCTGATTGTGATGATGATGTGATGAATCCGTAATCTATAGAGTATATAAATTAACGAAAACCATTCCATAAAACTTTTAAATAAATACTTATATTAGTTTTCAGGAATGGATCACGTTAATTTACATGCCGCATACTATGTACAGCAGTGGACAGTTAATGGCTAATACAACACTAATATATATTGAAGAAAGTAGACTCCTTGTTTTTTAATGTTAATCTATGAGTTTTTTATGTATTTAATGATCTTCCTGCTAGGCTCAAACGGGCCGTATGCTTGTTTACCACTAAAGAACTATAATAAAAAAATCTTTTTTTATTTCGAATTAACAATAAATGTTACTACAGAATATTATTAAAGTCGTCTTTGTTTTTAATATTTCTTAAACATTTTATCCTTATTTATATTATATTAAAGGCAGTATTATCAATACAATACAATGGAATGCTAAAACAAACTAACGATCCATCGACAATTGAAAGTTTTTGCTATTTTCCTCTAATCTATGCATCATTCCATACAGCTATACCTTTTTTGCAACAATATTATTTTTTTTATTTGCAGCAAGAAAAAAGAACAAAATTCTTACTTTCTAGTCATTAGTGAAATTCAATAACACAATAGAAAACGTCTACTGAAAACTTAATAAAAATATCCAAAATAATCGATTCGTTCAACTGAACGAATAACTAACTTCCGCTAACTAGCGGCAAACCACAATCGAGATGTTTCCATTGACTCTATAGCGGATGCTTCCGCTAAGATGGAACAGGTCGTTTATAATAGTTTTTGTCGTGCCAATAACAAACTCCCACTCGGGCAGTCGATGACATCAGTGGTAAAATCGAAAGTGGGCTCTTTTTGCAAGTAAATAAACTATATATTCGTCTAATAACAAATGTCCTGTAGATAGATAACACCCAGAAAAATACTAAGATATTTGGCTGTTCCTTAAAAACTGCAATCTCAATAATCTTAACACTACATACAAATACAAACTTGCTGTTCCGAAGTATCGTTTAAAAAAAGTTAATAGATCTTTTAGGAATGGGCATTTAATGTTATCCCTATGGTTGACTGGAAGAGAATGTTTTTAGCATTAAGTCCGCCATGTACACATATTTGTACTAATGAATAAATAAATAAATAAATGTTATAAAATACTGAAAGATATTTTGGATCTACCTATTAATAAATTTTAAAACTGTTATTAAAAAACACTTATTGAATAAAGTATATTACATACTAAATAATTTAATTTAATGTCAAACTGACTCGATAGTCAGTCGATTATGCATGGGCTTTTTAATGGCCATGTAATTTTAAACATATATAAACTTATATAAAAATATATAAGTTATACAGCACTATCATACCTACTTGTACAACAATTAGTCCATTACCTTAAGGTTGTCTTGAAAAGATTGCTCTCAGTAATAAGACCGCCTTACTGTACTTATACAATTGTATCGTTATGTTTGTAAATTGTCTTGCTTATTTCCTATATTGTATAATGCAAATAAAGTATACTCATTCATTCATTCATTCAGAGATTTAAAAAAGTAACTGTTCAATTTCTTGCGGGCTCTTCTCAATAGATAATAACCTTCCGAATCCTGTAGTAGATTAAAAAAATGACGATTTAAAAGTGTTTGTAAACAGGTGTATTTGAATAAAGATAATTTAAATTTGGCACCTGATGGTATTTCTACCACGGTGTAAATGTATCTAACTAGGAATGAATTTGGCCGCAATGGCTGGAAGATGGGAATTCAAATCCAGTCACATCAATTATAGGGTATCTAACTATAAAACATTTATAGTCAACTAGTGGTCCTAGTGTTGTAGTTATATGAAGAATTTTGAAAAATTTTAAAAATATTTGTAATTATATAGTTAAGAGTTTTGTAAATAAATAACTATTTTTTCCCTATTAGCATACTCAACTAAAATACACGTAAGTCGTTACGGCTAGCTTTTATACTTAAAACATAATTATATCCTTTAATTACAAAAAATAATCTTGATAAAAATTTTATTCTTTACAAAAATTAAGTGCTATTAAAAATTCATACAATCACTACTTTCCAATTACATTTCAATTAAAAAATATATATTACAGATTAATGCTCCCATAATTTATTTAATTGTATACGACGTTGCAAACGAATGTCAAAATGTGGAACACGCGGTACTCTAGATTTTTCTTATTCTGTGTGCAAATAAGCGTATACAGTTCGAAGTCGCGCTGCGCCGGTACCCAAATGTTAATCGATAGACAACTTAGAATAACTTAGATTCGATGGTCGGCCTTTGGACGTCACGGCACCCACGTGCTTGTAGTTAAGGCTACCTAGTCTATAAACCTGTTTTTGTTGTATTCATTACCTACATAGGCTCGAGGCAAAGCGAGTAGTATTTTAAGCGAATTTAAACAGAAGAACGCTTCTAAATTCTATTTAAAACTAACTAAACTTTTTGCCCGTCGTTCGCGTGGACTTCAAAAGTAGTAAAACCAATTAAATAGACTACTTTAAAATGGCGTATCAAGATTTTTTTTTCATGCAACTTAGAATGGCAAACAAGCTGACGGTTCACCTGAAACGCAAACGACTTTTGTACTAAATCTCCCTCTGGTAAGATGATACATATACCAAGTTTTAAATTAGACTTTGAGAATCAAAACTATGAAAACCGTTTCTAATTTGGTACAGTAATTTTTGCGTTATGCCGAACTAACATAAAGACAGACAGACAAAATTTTTAAAAATTATTATTTTGTCATAAGTTAAGCTCTCTCGTTATATTATATTATTTTTGGAATATGTATCGTGTACTAACTTTTTCTAGTTACAATTTTATTATATTAGCAAGGTTATATAACCAAAGTAATGGCATTTTTTTTATACAACTTAGAATGGCAAACAAGCTGACGGTCCACCTAATGGAAAGTGGTAACCGTCGCATATAGACATAAACAGTATCATGGACATAACAGAGTATACCGTTTCGCCCATGATACCCCCCACAAACCCTTCAAACCGAAACACAGCCATACAAATACAACTGCTTCACAATTGAAGCACGAATGAGACAGAGGTACCCAAGCAAACGACTTTTGTAAAAAGTCTCCCTCTAGTATATCGACTTCCAAAAGAAGAATACCTTAATTCGTCTATTCTTTTCTGTGGTTATGTCACGCGAACGCTTCACACTAACAATTAAACATTATTATTATTTATTTTACACTTGTCTATAGGCGACAGATATCATTTTCCATCAGGTGGGCCGTCAGCTTGTTTGCCATTTTAAATTGCATAAAAAAAACATAAAAAAATTAAAAAAAAGCTTGGCTAAATCTGCATCGAATCTTATATAATTTTTCCAATTGATAAGATTTACTAGCGTGTTAGTCTCGTATCCATTTTCTATAGTATTCCTTTACTAAGCAACACGATTCCAACATGATTCCATTTTCAAATGTTGTTAACTGACTCCAAAAAAAGGAGCCGCTTCTCAGTTCGGTTGTAATTTTTTTAAATTCTTTACCTTATAACTCCGTCATTTAATATATAAATTCGTAAAATTCCTTTTTTCGAAATGGTAGACTTTTAGATGAGTCCCATAAAAATTTTATCATAATCCGTTGAGTGGTTTAATTTTTATACCGAAATAAATTACTTTCTCATGATTGCAATCATTTTTTGTGGAACAAAATTTTAAATTATCATTACATTGATAATTTTAAATTTTGCTATTAATTTAAAATGTATACGAAACCTCTCATCGTTCATTCAAAAATTTCATCACGATTAAAGTCGCTTTTTTTATATATAATTGTTCGAATATAATGTATGTCTACAATTCCGCATCTTCTATGAAATTTGAAGGTACGTTAACAGTAGACGTACCTAGTGGAAATACTAAAATATATTAAACGTAGCTTATAAAATTTTATTTAATTTTTAAACATATTAATCTTTGTTTCGATCTAAGAACCTAATTCTAAAATTTCACGTGTCAACTTCTAAACATACAAACTTTCATCTCCTATTACAACCCTCTTAAAGGTAGAATTTTCTAAATTCTTATTGTTCATTTATGCTATATAAAAACCTAATTGCAAAATTTCGAGATTCTAGATTCAGCGGATTCAGCTGTACTGATATATGGGTCACTCAGCATCCTTTTTTATATGTATAAACGAGAAAAGTATACAGTAGAAACCAAATCTTTCAAAAACATGAGAAATTTAGTGGAACATTTCTGATGTTGCACGTCTATTTAGCTCTCCACGTTCGTACACAAAATGCGTAAGCAATTCAGTAGCTTAATTAATACTTAAATAAAGTGTCAAACAGTGACTCGATACTGTAGCGAAGCAGTAAATTAGCCTAATTAGTGCCCTGTAAAAATCTCCACTAAAAATTCCTACGGCACAAAATAGATGCCAAGACATTGCACGGCTAGAAGAAATAATTATAAATATGTATCAATGTCAATGCTCGATTGATATTAAGACTGTGGAACTCGGAGCGCGTCGCTTCGCATGCGGTGAGGCGGTCGCGTCACACGGCCGCAGCGAGGGAACCCGCCGATGACTCACACAACACTCGAATCGACTCTATAAGCTATTTGCCACGACTACAAAACAGCGGCAGGACCTCGAGCGAGTTTGTAGTCGATTCTAGTATTATTAGAACATACGTATGATTTCATTAGGAAGCACAACCGACAAATAAAACACAACCAATTTTAACATGCTGAGTATAAAACCAATTACACTCTCGCACAAATTTATTAACCCAATTGGATTAATCTGAAGTAGTGGTCTACCATGAAATGAAGTTCCGTATTTTCAGGCTCAATTTCGTCTTTTTGTTCATACCGAAATCGACCCAATAAATAGAGCTTAACATTTCGTTTATCATAAATCCTATCCTAATAGTCCAGAGGAACGATATTTTAATATTTTTAATAATTTTAAACGGCACGTATTATATAATTTTAACATAAAATTTCCGTTTCGTTCGTCCCCGAAATTTCGGAAAATATTTTGTGGTAGGCCCTCTGTTCGTTTTTACGCCCTTGACGACCTAGTGTAGCGGTTTAACACATTACATCACATTCCGGTAGTTGCAAGTTCAATGCCCAATATAGTCATTTGTATATGCTGTCATCTAGCTACTAAACTCAATGATCGTTTTAAAAAGAATAAGGTGCATGAGTGACAAAAAATATATGTGAATAAATTTGATTCGTGTATATTTAAGTCGGCTTTGCTCACGTTTAAATTCGGAAATGTCCGACTAGTATGACTCACGATAGTTATTTATTCAAATTTGATTTGCTTCGAGTAACGTACTATTTTTTTATTTTCTTTTCATTTATATATTCTTTATTGACCATATTACAAAATATGTTTGGTACAAAAGGAAGAACTTAATGTTATATTGCATTCTCTTTCAGTCAACGTTTGGCAAAACAAAAACTAATAATGCGGTGAAAAAAAATTAGAAGTTGATATAGATTTTTAGATACATGAATTATTAAAATACATTAATTCATTTTTTTTTTAATATAAAGAGAAATGAATGGTGTGACCCTCGCAGTAACTATTTTAAAATATTTAATAATGTGGCGCCTATATTCTTGACGGGAGAAAAAAAATAACCTACCAAATACATAAAATCATTGATCGAAAAGAGCATGTCTCTTTACTTATGTCTACACCTATGAACATATTGTTTTGGTGTTTCCATGAGTCCACTGTCCGACTGAGGGCCTCAGATCGATGACGCAACCTTGGATTGGCTTTGTGGGCGACGGTGGGCCAAGCTGTAACATAATCGGCACCAGGAAATGAACTCGTGCACGAACACTACGACACGACAACATCTAATAATACCGCCACTACTTTTGTTTTTGAAAAAAAAACTACCAATAATCAATATGAAAACAGATACTAATGTGAAAGTTTGGGGGGAAAGGGATTGTTAGTAATGGAGAGTAAGAATTCCATTGCTAGCAATATACTCAACCAGGTCGACCTAATCGCGGTTCCCCCTGGAAACTATCATGGTTAATTCCTGATGAATTCATCATAATGGGCTAACTGGCCTGTTTTCATTCTCATCTATCACCCTTCACTGGAGCTCCGCCAGCGTATATCGTTAGCGCAGGCGCGGTTGCCATCCCATTTTCACCCATAAAAAAAATGTGAAAGTTTTGAAGGAGTTTGGATTGGAATGGATGTTGGTTCAAATGTGGACGGTATACTAAATTAACACATATACATTTTTTATCCCAATTCATAAACGTTACAGTGTAATACATAAAAGCAAAACATATGTATACGTTTTTATAATAAACTTCCAGATGACGTTTTACATTTAAAGGAAAGAAAATTTAAAATATACATAAAAAAGGACTCTCTGTACAAAAGCATATTATAAATTAAATGACTATTTAAATGACAAAACTACATGGATTTGAATTTTGTATTAATGTGAATTGTATTGTAAATGTAATTATTGTAATATTTTTTAAATCAATATTATTTTATATAGTAATTATTATAATTATAAAGTGACGTATCATAATAATCTGTAACAGATGTATATGAATAAAGATGATTGATTGATTGATTGATTGATCAGACACTCACCAACTAATATGGAATTGAAATTCAGGAGGTAAATTCGTTATGGAATGTAGAACTTTAGACATCTAGTTAAGTCTATGGTATTCGCAGTTGAGCGAGATATAAATTTAGAGCAACTGAAATCGCGGGAAATCACTAATTACTATTATAATTAGTTATGAATAATTGTATCGCATATGTAAAGTGAGTAACCTCGTGCTAAACATCCTTACTGATAAGAAAATAATACCTATAGACAGACAGTCGTATCTTTTCTACAAAGAAAAAGAACAATTGCTTTATCGCAACAAAGAACAATATTCAAAAATATTACAATGAAGATAATAAAATTTATAGCTTAAATAATAACATCTAATTATTTTTAAACAGTAACAGACGATTTAATACATTAATGACTAGGAAATTTTATTACGTCTAAAAACGACTACAGTCGTAACCATGTTCATATTGGCCAGTACCAATTAATAACGTGACGTTTCATAAGTATGGTATACTAAATTTAAAATATTTAAATTTAGAATGCAGAATCGCGTGTTGTAGGTACACGATCTTGCTTAGCAACAAGCACACCACATAGAAAAATAAGTGCTTTAATCATCGTAAAATTTATATAAGACCAATAGGGAAGTAAGCCCTTTCGATTGTGAAAAGAAGTATCAAAATCGGTTCAGAATTAACGACGTAATAAATTAGGAACCTCCTCCTGATGGAAGTTGTTTAAAAATAAACATTCTGCATGACTCCCATGATCCGATGTCGTACAGCCTTGTCAATTTATTACCATGCGCAGCACACGTTAGCTATACTCGTATTGAGAATTTCCTGTAGTAGGTCCCAACCCACTATGCAAAGCCCATTGACATTGGCAACAAGAGCTTCTAATAAACATGTTAATTATTTAAACATCAAACTAGTCGCTAAAAATACAAGTCGGAAATATCTGACCGAAAACAGGTATTAGAAAGGCCAATTGGTTAGGGCCGTTTCACATATGGCGCTGTAGTGGCGACTACAATTATTTAACATACGACTGTCCATTAAATACGTAGTATTTTTTTTTTGTATTTGAATTTCTAATATCCAATTTAGTAAAATATCTGTCCCTGAGATTGCTACGAGAAAGTTTAAATAATTATTATATTTTTTAACGATGACGTATTTTTCTTAGTCTGCTTTTAAAATAAGAGAAGTAATAAAAAGTGAGATTTAATTAAATTTGCAACAAACGTACAAAATTTGAGAAAAAAATAACTATAAGTAATGTCTCATACCTATTTTGATATGGAATATCAAAAGCCGATAAATAAGGGAATAGTACAATAAGCAGACTTCCTGGTACTTTAAAATTATCACACGAAGGGCAAATATTTGACCCACAGTAGTATACAATTACACTTTTTGTGGGATTCCGCCGAATGAACAAGAGAGCAATGCGTACGGCCGGCGTCTGCGCCCTTATATGGTTATCAACGACGCAAGGCCAGTCACTAGGTACCTTCATCATGGGCAGACGATTATAATGGATCTTTGTTAAAATTAAAATAAATACTCGACCAATTATCGATACAGACTACGAGAATAAAAGTATTGTGGAATTGAATATATAACAAGATATCGCTTTTCAATCATTTAAACCGTTAACTGTCCACTAATAAGTATAGGCTGCCTAAAATAACTCCTGAGCCTGAGCCGATTTAGCCTGAGCCGATTTAGCCTGAGCCGATCAAACAAATAAGATTTTTTTTATATACAATTTAGAATGGCAAACAAACTGACGGCCCAACTGATGGAAAGCGGTAACCGTCGCCTATAGACATGAGCAGTACCATGGACATAACAGAGTATACTGTTTCGCCCATGATACCCCCTCTGTACCCAGTAAATTAACGCCATATAATATATTGCAGGAAGACTTTTTGCAATATATTTGAGATGATGGAGTATGATGAAGGAGTGGGGTCTACCTTGAAATGAAGTTCTGAATTCTCAGACTCGATTTCGTATTTTCATTCATACCAAAATTGGCCCAGTAAATAGAGCTTAATATTTTGTTCATCATAAATCCTATAGTTATAGTCCAAAAGAACGATATTTTAATATTTTTAAACAGTACTCGTATGTATTATATAATTTTAACATTAAATTTTTGTTTCATTTAGTTCAGAAATTTCGAAAAACATTTCATGGTAGGCTCTCTGGTCAATTCACCTATTGTAAGAAATACACCAGGAATTAATCACTATAGTTTGGCTGTAAATTTTATTGCAAACTCAAAGACATGAGCAAATTACTCATCAAGTCTGTAGTACTTATCTCCTATCAACAAATACCTGTCATCAAGATGACTCTTAAATGATTCATAAGCTATAGAGAAATTTATGCTGAAAACTAAAATAAGTAATGACCTCACACATGCACACTTCAGGAATAAGCAAACAAATTTTTAGATTTTGCACATTACAGAAATCATCAACATTCTTTTTTTAAATATTGAAAGCAATTTTATAATTAAATTAAAACAAGAGACACAAAATCATACGAAATAATAATTCTTATGGCTAGTGTCTTTACTATATCTACATACCATCTCTAAGTGATAACAGGCTAACATCTTATTTATAAAAAAAAAAATAACAAATTAAATTCTTTTCAATATACATTAGAGTATTGAAGTAATTTAAAATAAATATTTTTTTAATCTATCATTCTAATAGTTAAGTTAAATTTGTTGATGGATTTATTTATTATATTATTATAAGAAACTGAATGTGTCACCACTGAAAGAGTGGTGACACATTAAGTATCTTTAATATTTCAAATTCAAATATTCTTTATTTTTACAACTAAACTTTTAAATCATAATTTTTTTTAAATCTACTATGAGGTTTGGAATGTTATTATCTGTTGAAAAAAACCCATAAGAAATTCAACAGTTACTCCATGGCCAGGGGAGATAAAGAATTGTTAGTAATGGGGACTAGTAACCCCATTGCTAGAACTTCTCCAAAATAATATAATGTTCCACCTAGAAGCTGTTGTGATTAATCTTCATGAATTCTTTACAATCGGCCAGCTGACACACTTTTATCCTCGCCTATCAGTCCCCACTGGGTGGCTCACCATTTCACTTATCATCCATTTAAAAAAATATCCATACCCAAGCACACACACATTTTTTTATCACACTTTTGATAAGCAATTTCTCATCTAAAGATAAAAGGCTATAAACTAAAATATACAGCTGTTTTCAGAACTGGCAAAATATATATATGTATATATATTTTTTATATTATGCTGTTCTTTTTAAAGGATAAAAATTGATTCAAAAATAATGATGATTAATAATGATCTCACTGATACCTCATCAGAATAAACCAACAGTACATGTGGGCTACTATTCCATTTTCATCCATTAAAAAATTTGTCATTTATTTTTTTACTATACTTTAAATCATACATTAAAAAAAATTATTCTAATGGTGGAACCATCGGCATATTTCCAGTTGCAGTAATATAAAATTTTTTAGCATCAATTTCTATATACATACAGTTTTCTGAACATAATGTATGAACTGTGATATATTAGTATAATTAATGTTCTAATTATGAAAAATAGATCAAATTTAAATTATCACTCATGTATGCCAACATAATTTACACTTGGTGAACTTATGAATTCCTATTCACTTAATAATTTTTTGTTTTCATCATGAATTGAGCAATAACAAGATGAAAAAGAAATAATATAATAACAATTCAGATATATTTAAACATGTCTTTTTTTTACAGTCTAAGATATGCTTCAATAATGCTTCACTTACATAGTAATGTGTATTGAAAAATGTTATTTTTCAATGCATGTAAAAGTTTTTATACACAACCCAGTAGGTACAATAGGAGATATAAAATTAAAAATCTATTATTAGCATTATGGTCTCATGTGATTTATGATTTAATATTCTCATAGTATTTACTCCAAGCATGAGCAAGAGTGGCTTTAAATTAGACATATAATATTAATGTTTTCATAGATTAACATAGAAATTAGGATGGTACATATGAATAACAATCTTCAAAATTAAATAAGCAACTTAGTATAAAAATATGATTAGAGAATCTTTCTTTCATGGGGCAGAACTTTGTAGATAAACTACCAAATAAAATGACCATTCAGAAACAAGCTTAGCTTAATATTTGAAACATTATGTTAATATTTATTGCCCTAACCAAATCAGATACTACCTACTTTCACTTTTATGTATTGACTGCCGTGATTGAAGTAAATTTTCAAACTGTCGGTCAGATAACATAGAAAGACAATAAATCATATTTGTTATTAGAATTCGATATCGAATACGTGGACTAAATGTTTAGTGAATATTGTCAGTTATACGGAGCAGTGAAGAAGTTTCGGTAGAGACTACAAATACTTCATAACAGAACTATAAAATCGTTCTTAGATGGAAACGGAGCTATAAAGTATGGGAGATCAAGCATGATCGTACTCACCATCTGTTCTTTTTATGTTGATGTTAATTCCAGACTGAATCTTCACAGTACCGTCATCCATTTTTGCACAGGTTTAGACACCACATACACTATAGAACATTATTTCGCAATCGAGGTTTAATTAAAAATAGTCTAACACATTCGGAAATTACACATAAGAACCGGTGAAAATTACAAAATAAATTTCTACACCCAGATTGACAGTTATATCGAGCTAGCGCTCACACTTCAGACTGGAACGTTTGAAATTTGTTTCACTACAACAGTCAAATCAATCACTTTACTTTCTAAAAACTAATTAATACAATTGATTTGATTATTGTAAAGTATAATAGAAATAAAAACCGAAAAAAAACCAGAAATGTTTTAAATAATTTCGGTTATGAACATGAAATTACAAAATTACCAGGAACACTGCGTCGAAAATTTTTATGTAATATTGCCAGTATGCAATTTTTTTCTACTTTCAATCCACCACAGAATAAATAAGGTAAATGTATTGCAAATACAGAAGTCGATTCTGAGACCTTATTTACTAAATATGCTTCTAAAATTTAAATTTGATAACACATAGACATTATTATTCTAAGGACAAATATAAACAAAATTTCTAATACATTTAATTCAAAATTATTATACAGGTTTATAGAACAGTAATTTCACGAAACTATTAAATATATTTTAGATTGAAAGATAAGTTATAAAAATGACGCTTCAGAATCGAGCCCAATGTTCAATACTTCATCTTAATTTACTCTTTTCGTCTTTATCTCAAAAATAATATTAATGACAACTACATAATTTCTAGTTTCATTGCTTATTTTTCTGTAGTTTTTTTTTTTTTAATTGAGCGCAAAATATATATAATTATAAACGATATTCCTTTATATCCACAGTATATGGCGAATAATCGATCGATTATAATAATGTAGGACCTATTCAAACCATAGAGAAAATTAATATTTTTAAAACCAGATGCCTTTTTGGCAACACTCGTTATTAAAAAAAAAAGAAACCTAAATGGGGTTAGAGCTTCAGAGTTGTGACTGTCGATGACTAAATTACCAATCTGTAATAGTAGTAACTTAATTTGTTCTTAAATTTTCCAAGAAAAAGCTATCAAAAATGCATAGCGAACATAAAATATCACATAAAGCAAAGAAACGCATTAAGGAAGTCAAAAGAAAAGCTCGCCCCGGTAAGTAGTTAATTAAATATTTCAAAACCCATTTCCTCATACTATTCTGCTATTTCTTTGCATAATTACCGTTATAATGTTAATTATTGTGTTGAATGATAGATCAATCTTAAGTTTTCTTGTTTTTATTAAATAACACGCATATCACTTTACCTTCTAAAATGGTCGACGACTAAACACCGTAGCATCCATTGCACATGCGACCTCCGCCTTCAATCGTAACGAAAACTATTTATTTTTTCTCGAAACAATAAATACTTCTTTACATTTTTACAATAACTGGTAATATAATATCACCACATGAGAGAGGTATTAGTAGATAGTAGATAAGCATTAATACTATTCCGGCCAAGTAAATTTACTTTTTCCAAATAGTGCTTAACATTGTTACTATTTGAAATGAGTCACTTGTAACACAATCATAAACAGGCAAAATATAGTATATATATAATATAGTACAAACTAGGTTAAAGCCCATCAGAAGTTTATCAAGCAAACATTGTTTAGTAACATTTTTCATACTATTCATCTTTATATATTCTATACTACCTCTTACCCACAACTTCATTTGCATGACCGTGATATATTCATAGACTAGGAGAAAAAGTAGCCTATCTCTTTTTCTGTCCCATATAATATTTGCATACTAGGGTATCATAGTTATAATTTAAATTTTTAAGGCACTACAAGATAACAAAGTTATTTTTATTTAATATGATTAGCAGTGATTATTGTATGTACTTACATGTGAAATGGCAACATTTTATCTAATGTGAAGAAACAATGTCCATTTTCCTTGTAGAAATAGTATAAAAAAAATGTATTACCACTCATTTTCATCCTCATAATGTGATAAGAGATATAAAGTAACAAAGCAATACATAAATGTAAGAGTTACTGGTTAGTATGGTAACTATATAAAATTTGCACTTTTTTAAACTATTATAAAGAAATGACAACTAATGTTTTTTCACATTATAATCTACCATTGTGTAGTAATATTTTATGGAGTATTGAATTGATTGAAATTGTATCACCATTGATTATAAAATTTATTTTTGCTTTTATATTTATTTTATGCAACTTAGAATGGCAAACAAGATGAATGGTCCACCTGATAGAAAGTGGTAACCATTGCCTACAGACAGCGCTATTGTCATAGTTAAGAATGGAAATAAAGGACAATATTTTTATTTCAGAATTAGCAGATAAGTATCAATGGACAGCTTTAAAGTATGCGGGGAATTTTGAAGAATTTCTAAAATGTAACGATAATGTTGACAGAATAAGTGAGAATGAAGTATCACCTGATGAATTTATAGAGAAATATGAAAAAATATACAAACCTGTAGTTATAACTAATGTACAAACAAACTGGAAAGCGAATCACAAATGGACCTTAGATAGACTTGCCAAAAAGTATCGAAACCAAAAATTCAAATGTGGAGAAGACAATGAGGGTTATAGTGTTAAGATGAAAATGAAGTATTATGTAGAATACATGCGGACAACGACTGATGATAGTCCACTTTATATTTTTGATAGTAGTTTTGGAGAGCACCTGAGAAGGAAGAAACTCCTCGAAGATTATGAAATCCCAAAATATTTTAGAGATGACCTGTTTAAATACTGTGGAGAAGAAAGGAGACCTCCATATCGCTGGTTTGTAATGGGACCTCAACGTTCAGGGACTGGGATCCATATAGATCCTTTAGGCACAAGCGCTTGGAATGCTTTAGTTTTTGGCCACAAGAGATGGTGTTTGTTCCCAACACAAACTCCAAGAGAACTCATCAAAGTAACTGGAGCGATGGGTGGAAAACAAAGGGATGAAGCGATCACTTGGTTCAAGCTTATTTACCCCAAAACACAGATGGACTCATGGCCAAAGGAATATAAACCTGTATGTATCCAAATATTAATTTATTACAATAATAAATATTATATAAATAAATTGTAGTTGAAGATTATGAAACAAAGCCCAAAATTGGGGTGTATGCATGTGACAATAAAAGCAGGGGATATAAATAAATAAAGTTCACATTCATTTTTAGCCATCTGCTTTCCCTGATTGTTTTCTCTTCTATCCTATGAAGGATGTAGATATATTACCTATATAATTACCATTTACTATAGTTTTTTTAATTCAACTACCAAGTTCATTCCACTTTCAAATTTACATATATAAAAATATACAACCCTTTTTATATATACCCTCACCTATTTTAAAGTTATATATATTTAATAATCAAATATATGTAACTGTACAAAAAGTACAGTTTTTTGTCATTTCGATACTAAAACAAATGATTATTTATTTACAGGTTGAAATACTCCAGAAGCCAGGAGAAACAGTATTTGTGCCAGGGGGATGGTGGCACGTTGTTCTGAACCTAGATGACACTGTAGCTGTGACACAAAACTTCTGCAGTCGCACAAACTTCCCTGTGGTATGGCATAAGACTGTACGCGGGCGCCCTAAATTGTCGAAAAAGTGGATTAAAACACTTGAAACCAAAGAGCCTGATTTGTATAAAATTGCAAGTAGTATGGACCTAAATCAGGGTACTGGCGTAGCTTCTGACAGTTCTTCCAATAGCAGCTCGTCTAGTAGTGATAGCGAGAGTAGTTCCTCGGATAGCTCCGGTGAAGAAGACAGTGGCCAGGAAAGCATCTCGGCGCATAAGAAGAAGAAAAGAAGGAAAATGTGAGAAGATTTATCTACACATATTGTAGATATAAAGTACCAAGATTTGTATTCTTATTGAATTTATATAGTAAAACTGCCTCTTTTGTATTATTAGGTGTAATAACTAATTTAAAATCATTTTTACAGTTGTTAAATTAGAAAGAAAACAGTAATTATTTCTTTTGTTAACTTACTCAATTCTTTATGAAGAAAATAAAGTATTATTATGAAAAATAATGTGGTTATTCATATTTTCCAAATAACCCACAAATGAAGAATAATCAATGCAGCTGTGTAAGACCCACCATCAAGACGTCATAGTTACTAGACCAAACCAGTCGGTACCCCAGAAACCAGCGTGCTAAATTCCAAGTATATTTATCACGATGTGCTAACGGACCGGCCTTTTCATTCTCATCTGTCATCACTCACTGATTCATTGATTGACTGCTCCATTGCTTACAATATACCCTACTAGGTCAACCTCCTCGTGGTCCCCCTGAAAACCAGGTGTACTCATCGCAATGGGCTAACTGACCTACCCTTTCATATCACCTATCAATCCTCACTGGTGCCCCGTCAGTGAATACTATTAGCGCAGGCGGGGTTACCATTCCATTATCATCCATTAAAAAAAAGTACTGACCTTATGGAGGGGGGGCGGGGGTCGAGCAACGTCCGGCACTTGACCTTTTTTTGTCGTCAGGACAGGCGTTGTAAAAACTTACCCAGGCATATCGTACGCTAAGTCTGATCTTATACCTAATTGTCAAATATAAGCAAGATAAAAAATAATTTGTCTTCTAAAAACTTTTAAACTACTTCGATATACAATTAAGTGTAAGATAAAAATTCGTTTTTTTTTGTTTAGAAAATGTGAAAAGCCGATATAAATAATTACAACATAGTATCATAGTATGGTTCACAATAGTTATCCATATATAATATACTCTGTGATAGTTATTATTTAACAATATTAAGAATAGAACAGTATAAAATCGGGTTATCTGAAGAAATGTAAAAGAAGTGATAGATAACAGTATATGGCTCCATCCAATATATCTCTATCCATTGTTTTTACAATTCTTTGTTATAGGTACATCTGTAAAGATTTTTAAAATCATTATTGTCAGACTTCCCGATAAGGAAGACGTAACAGTAAATACCTATAGTAAATTTAAAAAAATTAAATAAATTTATTTAAATAGGACTTAATAAAAAACTGACTTACTATAATTTAGGATAACTACTATGAACTTAAGTATCCGTTATAGTATTTATTTCGTTACTATGATTTTCTTTTTATTAGCTGTAAGATTCAAAAATATATTAAATCAATCGTTTAAAGAACTAGTGATTTTTCAATAATATTCTCTTAATTGGCAACACAAACGAATCTAATTTGTCTATGATTTTCAGTCAGTAGCCATTTGTTATCTTTAGCATTGCCAAAGTTCCTGTGAAAAACTTAACAAAATGTTGAAATCAGCATCAGGTACACTGGTTAACGTTCTGAAACGATCCCTGCTTCCCACAACTAGGGTCAGTGCAGTGATCCCGGCACGACTCTCACATGGAGGTCCAGTGGAATCCGACGAAGAATTCGACTCCAGGTTAACATTTTGACGTTATGTAACTGAAAATTAATGATTAATTTGTGTCCAACTGGTACTATAATTTTCTCTAAGTTTTCTAACGACGAAGGACAATGTAACCACCAGTTATAATTAAAATTCGGCTCTTACTTTAAATCAGATTATGACCACTTACCTCGTGTTTAATGACTTTGTCCATGATTATCCTCGTACCATATAATTTTACGAGTTTTTTCTACTTAATATAAAATATATGAACAATAAGAACGTAATAAGAATTTTCTATATTTTTCCCATTCCAATATACATGCCCAAGTGACCAGTATTGATTTTTCAAATAAAACTTAGATACATAAGTTTGTCTTATTTGTTTCAATCGATTATTAAATTAAGAGTGCAAATAGAACAAAATGTAAAAAGGAACTTGTGACTAAAGCTATGCCGTAACTATTCAATATTCATACTAATTATTTTATAGAATGGTCAAAAGAATATATATTTTAAGAGTACACTGCCTTCATTGTATGAACTAGGTCCACCTAATGCTGAGGTGATTACTATTTTTCTGCATTCTCATTTTACTCTTGAAGTGTTTGCCTAAAATCCTTCCTGAAGTTGAGCTTCTCATCTCCACAGACACTTTCCATAGACTATCTAGTTTTATTCATTTTTGAATATATTTATGTTGTTAATATAAAAATGTTAACAACATAAAAATATAACTAATTCCTTAGATTTCACACTATACTATTATAACTCTGCAATTTATTTCCATATCAGTTCAATAGTTAACCTTAATTATGTTTTTAACAAGAACTGACACTGATTTCTTATTGTCTAAACTAAAATAAAAATGTGAATTAAAAAAAAATCATGCCTTTATTTATTTAAATTTCTATATCCCTTTCAGATATGAAGCATTCTTCAATAGAAAAGACATTGATGGTTGGGAAATCCGCAAGGGAATGAATGACCTCTGCGGTATGGACTTGGTACCTGACCCACGAATCATCAAGGCCGCTCTCCATGCCTGCAGGCGGGTTAATGACTATGCGCTTGCAATTAGATTTATCGAGGCATGCAAAGACAAATGTGGCAATAAAGTTAATGAAATTTACCCATACATTATCCAAGAAATCAAACCTACACTCACAGAGCTCGGCATTGAAACGCCCGAGGAACTTGGCTATGACAAACCAGAACTAGCATTACAGAACGTTTATGAGATATAAGCTTCTCAGAGTGATATCAAATTATAGAAATGATAGAAAATTTGTATAATAGTTTTGTTGTCGACATTTATTTTACATTTAATAATGTGAAGCAATTCAAGTATTCTTGGTCCACCCATAAAAATCGACATGCTTTTGTCTAATGTATAAAATGTTGGAGGAACAATGTTGTTTTATTTATAATAATTTAGATGCCATTACACAATTATAATTTTATATACATTCAGATACAACAAAAAGCATTTTTATTTTTTGTATCAATTTTATTTACCCATATGTCTTATCATCTTAGATGTTATCTATGTTTTACCATTTTCCAAAATCTGTAAAAAATATTTTTCATTCATCACATTAGGCAGCATGGAACAAAGTATAATGGTGTAATGCCATGGCCATGGCCCTATGATATTTTTTTTTAATAATTCAGTTTGCAACAATATAACTACGTATATTATATACTGCGGTAATTTTAAATAGCGAGTCGTAAACTCTTCACTCTCACTTCTCTGCAACGCCAAAATATTTTCTCTCCAAAAGTCCCCTGCTGAGACCTGTATTTTATAAGTTTGTACTAGACTTTAAAAACCTAACACACCTTCCTGGTGGGAAAAGTGATTGTTAGTAATGGAAACTAATGATATCCACGTAATTCCTCCTGAAAATCATAGTGATTATTTTTACATTAATTCTACATCAATCGCCCTTTAAAGGTCCGGTGCTGTCATATACCTAGCGTAGACGGGGTTACCGATCGATTTACATCCAAAAAAGAATCCCTCGTTTAGTCAATGGCTTATTGAACTACCCAGCAATATGATGCTGATTTTTTATCAAATATAGCATTATTTATCATACATATTGTACAAACTCAATTAGTCTTATATGGAGTTGTTATTGTTTCAATAAACACCTTTCTGCTAAAAATAGAATCCGAGGGAATATCCTTAATATATTCTCCAAGGTACTAAAACTTGCATTTCATTTATTGTAAGAATACTTAAAACCATTATTTGTATAGAAATCTAGGGAATACTATGTTTAAACCAGTTTAGACGATAAACAAGTTGAAATGTGATGCTCGTAATGTATCAATAAAGATGACGATATCAGTAGGCCTACCATGAAATGATTTCCGAAATTTCGGGGACGAACGAAACAGAAATTTGATGTTAAAATTACATAATGCATGCAGTTTGAAATTATTAAAAATGTTAAAATATCGTTCCTCTGGACTATTAGGATAGGATTTATGATAAACGAAATGTTAAGCTCCATTTACTGGCTCGATTTCGGTACAAAAAAATCACGAAATTTAACCCGAAAATTCGGAATTTCATTTCATGGTAGACCACCAGCCTTTAACTGTCCACTTCTGAACATAGGCGTCTCCCATAATATTTGGCAGTTGGGTTGTTAACTGCAGTTAGACTAGTGATGTTTTAGGAGGAACACTTCTGCCCATCCCTTAACCATTAAGTCACTTGAATAGCTTCTTACACCATCCAAAGGGTATTTTTTTTTATTGGATGATAATGGAATGATGACCTCGCCTGCGCTAACGGTATACGCGGGCGGAGCACCAGTGAGGGATGATAGGTGAGAATGAAAAAGCAGGTCAGTTAGCCTATCGTGATGAATACATCTGGAATTCAGCACGATGGTTTCCAGGGGGAACCGCGTGGAGGTTGACCTAATAGGGTATATTGATAGCAATGGGGACTAACCTCCCCATTATTAACAATCCCTTAAGCCCAGGAAAGGGTATTTTATGTTGGGACCACATGACCCAATATCAGTATTTTTTTATGGGTGAAAATGGAATGGTAACTCCGCCTGCGCTAACGGGATACGCTGGCGGAGCACCAGTGAAGGGTGATAGATGAGAATGAAAACAGGTCAGTTAGCCCATCATGATGAATTCATCAGGAATTAACCGTGATAGTTTCCAGGGGGAACCGCAAGGTGGTCGACCTGGTTGGGTATATTGCTAACAATGGGATTCTCAGTCTCCATTACTAACAATCCCTCCCCCCCCTCCCCAATATCAGTATTGTGCAACACCACATATAATAGTATATTAATAACAATACCAAATTGAAACTCTTGAAATTACCGTAAATAGTTTAATGATTGCAATATTCACACATTCATACCATTATTTACAATCACAAGTCATTGTACTTAACAACAAAATTGTGCTTTATATTTCTATGTTATAAAGGATAAAACACAATCTCTTTGGTCAAATAAAAATAAACATTAAAATAAAATAATACAGAAGTCAACCAACAAAATCAAAATAATACTCGTTTCTTGTCTTTTCAATGAATAAATAAACATTTCGTATATATATATATATATATGTATATTACTTGCTCACTTTGTACTCTTCTATGACTTCTACCTTACAAGCTAGTCCCAATTATATCATCGTAATTAATATTAACGTTTAACGCGAATTTTCAATTAAAAATTGCCAATGGTAGACGTTGAAACGACTCTAAACAGATCTAAAATCCCAGATTTCTATATGGTACAGATATATAGCTAAATTTGAAGTTACATCTATACACATTAGCTTTTCATTAAACATTCATAGGTACTAATTTCATACTGTAATACAACCCTGCGCACGAAATATAATTATTCTCATTGTTTTTTTCATGAATATACAATACAATGGACTATTTTATTACATTAAATAATTCATCTAGTTAGGTATAATACAAAACTTACACGGAATTACGTTACTTGGTAAAATTGTATTTTGAAATACTTTCTTTACATTACTTTGTAAGACTAGAGTACTCTGCTTGTGACTAGGATACTTGGCAAGAGTAACAAGAGTACTCTTCGTGCGACTAGAATACGTGACAAGAGTAACAAACATAATCCATTAAATAAATTAAACAAACAACAATTTTCCACAACAAATTCTTAAATAAATAAAATTAAGGAATGTATTAATCATAATAAATATGCATGTAAAATTGCGAATATATTTCTATACTTTCAATTAAAAATTACTACTTGAAAACTGTACAAAAAAATTATAATAAGTACTTTATTTAAATATTATTTCCGAATAATTGTATATTGCACAAATCTGATCCTGTGACAACGATTTGTTTAAAAAATAAATTAATCTAGTAAATTAAAAATAATTTATGGCAACATAATGACCAGACCAGAATTAAATAATTTATTCTATAGTAAATTGCATAGTATCCAGACTAAAATCACTCTGAAATCACTGAAAAGATCACTGGACATTTTGCTATACAACTAAATTTTAATTACACCTCGCACACAGCCGACACATCCGATGAAGTAGGTGGTGCTCGTAGCATTCACTACATCTAGTTCACATTTTCTCAATAGATTACTTACAATAGAGATAGATTATCAACTTGCGAATCTATTATAATTAAACATCATTAACACCAATTTAGAATTATTACTTTTAATTATAAAAAAAAAACTACACAATATTCGTCACGTACGAGAAGTAAAATAATTGAGAAAATGTGTACCTACTTACAGTTTGTAAACTATATGTGTAATGCGATCACAATAAGATAACTTATAAAAAAAATATTTACATGGAAATATTACTTGAAATATTAAATTCAGGATTTAAAAAAAAATGCCAAAATTTTTCGCTCATGTCCCTTTCTTTTTTCCTTCCGTGCTGTTACGCCGATTCCAAAATTTATATAATTGGAATAAGGGTAGAAATACGGATTACGGATATGGAGGATTTTTTCGCTCATCCTATTAGCCGGATTATTTGGAGAGTTAAAGATAACAATGTCCGAAGTATGGCCGTAGCTGGGGGGAGAGGGGCATTGAGCGACAGTGCCTTACCTTAAAATGATAGGCCCCAAAAAAAATAAGACAAATTCGCTTTTTCAAAATCACCTAATTATGACTTCTGCCCGACCAAAAAGTTCTTTTGCCCTACCTTAAATTTAGGTCTAGCTACGGCCCTGGTCAAAGGTCATTTCCCAATCTTATAATGATCGCATTGTACAGTGTTATAGTGATTAAGATGTAGCAGTACACTCTTCATGAAGCGGGCTCCTCCTTACACGTGTCGTGTAGGAACGCGTCGCGGAGAATGTACCGTGGTGGGCGCGGGTGCTATGCCCTCTCGGTGAGCAGGTCGGGGCAGTCGGGCGAGGCCTCTTGTGGCGGGGAAGTCGCCACCAACGTTAGCAGCTAGGAGTCGGCCACCACGGCGTCCCGCTCCGCTTTCACTTGCTGCTATCGTAACAAATACAACTATTCACGTTCGGCTCACTGTAAGCCGTAGCCCAAGAGTCCGTAACGGCCAGACTTTTGTGATATTATAAAAGCTGAGTTTCATTGCGCATGTCTCAATACAGGTAACAACGGGATCGGGGAGTATGTAGTTTAGATCGTCGTGGCTTTGGCAGGTAACAAATAACAAAGGTGTATAAAATTGCTCCCCAACATTGTTTTTTTTTTTTTATGGGTGAAAATGGTATGGTAACTCCGCCTGCGCTAACGGGATACGCTGGCGGAGCACCAGTGAAGGGTGATAGATGAGAATGAAAACAGGCCAATTAGCCCATCATGATGAATTCATCAGGAATTAACCATGATAGTTTCCAGGGAGAACCGCGAGGAGGTCGACCTGGTTGAGTATATTGCTAGCAATGAGATTCTCAGTCTCCATTACTAACAATCCCTTACCCCCCTCCCCAACTGTGTTAGTTGGTGATGCGTAAAGAAACTCCCAGCTTTTACAATATAACGAAAATCTGACCGTCACGGGCTCTTGCTCTGTAGCGTCATAGATGCGTAATTGTCATTGACCGCTTAATATGCGCCTACATTTTTCTTACACACAAAATGGGAAAGAGGGAGGGAGAATGGATTGCCATTGATTTTGATACGAATATACCCAACAATTTTGGGTCGGCAACGCGCGCGTAATACCTCTGGTATTGCAGACGTTCATAGGCTACGGTAACCGCTTACCATCAGGTGGGCCGTATGCTTGTTTGCCACCTCAGTGGTATAAAAAAAAAAACCCAGCTAGGTACTGATTTCATCTATCATTATTTTTTTTTTCATAAATACCTCGTCAGCGTACATCAATAGTATAAGCTGAGTTATCATTGTATTAAAAAATCATATAAAACTAACGTCACGTTATTTATATTGCTATTTTGTATAGGCGGTTAATTAGCTTGTTTGCCATTCTAAGTTGTATAAAAAATAATAACAAAGAAGATCGTGCCTGTAATTCCATACTTATAGGGAATTTATTTGAATGTACATATAATTGTATTACAATTGTACAAGCTATTTTCAAATATTGTTTCATGAATTAATATGTATTTCAAATTACATTATTTTACTTTAATTCTTTGTACACCTTTTGGGTTTATCAAAGAGAGCTTCATAAATGTGTTTTAAGAATCTATTTGCGACTATGTTTCGCAAGTAAATTATTGATTGATCGATCAGGGCACCCAAATATCAATTATAACATAACTTCACTTAATCTATATGCATGTATTGGTATTTTTTCTATCAATAGTAGCTCAGACAATAATATGTTAGTCTTCAAAGGTTCCGCCTGTTGGTCTTGAAATCGGAGCCTCGGAGAATACTTAGCAAACCTTTGACGTGATCGGATTGTAACTTTAAATTTGATGTGATCGGTGTGTGACTGCGCATGTTGGGAGGAAAGGCATTGTTAGTAATGGAGTTTGATAGCCTCATTGCTAGCAATATGCCCTATCAGGTCGACCTCCACGTGGTTACCCTTGGAAACCATCGTGAACAATTCTTGTTGAATTCGTCACTGCCTCGTCGGTGTATACAGATAACACGAGTGAGGTTACAATTCCATTATCACCTATTAAAAAAATAAGGCATGTTCTCCAAAAAATGTTGAATTATCATACCATGGCCTTGGTGAGCACAGTGGCGTCCTTAAGACTGAGGACCTGCAGTACTTGCGCCTCGCCGCCGCCCTGCAGCATCACCTGGGCCACGCCGCCGCCCATCGATATCGCCTCCAGCGCTTCGCCGTTCTGTTCTACCTACATATCACAATAACAATTATTATATTAAATAAAAAATTCAAAATTCATTTATTCATGTAGGACATTTTAGCCGCTTATGAACGTCAAATTTTTACATTATAATTTTATTTTTTTTCCCTACCGTCCAGTTCGGTATATAGATCCAATTGAGAAGAACTGGCAAGAAACTCAATTGAATTACTTTTTTTTTTTTAAAGCCAGTTTATTTACAATGTATATTTATATAGGTGTCTATGTCTAACATTAAATGAAAATTCAGTGCATGACTAAACTAAGAAAACTAGACAATTAGAATAAAATAGAAAATATCTATTTGCCACAGAATTACATAATTTATTTAAAGGTTATTGAATGGCGACCCCGTACAGGGAAATGGAATGTAGGACGATCCCCACTAGATGGAGTGACGACCTCAAATGTATTGCAAGGCGTCAGTGGTGAAGATGTCAGGACCGTTCTTTATGGCAGTCTATGGGGGAGGCCTATGTTCAGCAGTGGACGGATAATGGCTGGAATGATGATGATGATGAAGTACATAATTATAAAAGAAAAAAATTACCATAAAAAAGAAAAAGATTGTTATTAACTCTATAAATGTCGGCTTATCGTACATTGATTTCATATGAGCCTTTAACCGTCCACTGCTGAACATAAGCCTTCCCCTTAGGCGGTTTTCCCAGTAGTTGTCACGCTTGGCTGGCGGATTGACAACCGCAGTTAGGCTTTGAAGATGCTTTAAGAGGGACGCTGCTGCCCATCCCTCGCCCTCCCTTCGTCGCCTCTTATGACACCCACGGGAAAGACAGGGGCGGCTTATTCTATGGCATACATTGATTAATTGATAATTTTAATTTTCCTTCGTATAGTTCAATTAACTTCTATGGAGAGATCAGGTGACAAAAAACCATTACATTTACATCTGCATGATAAAAATAGAAATATTGTAAATATGTAGCAATTTTTACAAGCAAAATAAAAAAAAAGCAAAAAATACACACCTTAACATGCAGCTAATATACACAAGCTGGAACTCAAATGACAAATTATTGGATTCTATACAAATGAGCATGAATCGACTTGTCTTTGGTAGGGACTTATTATTGGACAAAGACTAGAATAGGACTTGCTCATTAGAAATTACAAAAAAAAAAAAAAATATGTAATGCATTATATAGCTCAATAATAAAAAAAAAATACAATAAAACAAAACAAATAATAAAACATACATTTATTGTAGCGTCTCACGCAAAACAGACTCTTTGAGTCATAGTATAAAAAAGCCCACAATTTTAAAAACATATTTCAATATAGTCAAATTGAATGGGCTTTATTTTTAAAAATTAAAATATGGCAAATACAACACAACACAAAATATAAAGCAAATAAATACTGCAAATATTAATATTAATTGCACGTCTTCTACATTATAAATATTATATATTAATAAATGTTTGGTATTAAGTTCAAAATTAAATATTTTTAATTCACTTTAACTCGTTTAAAATAAACATTATGGTTGAATCTAGAAATATTGTATCTCTCAGATATTTTTGTGACTATTTTAATATTTTCAATAATTTTATTTTCATTTTATTCTCAAAAATTGTTAACCTCCTCCTGGTAACAAGCTCTTTCATGTATTTATGATCATTAAGTAGGTTAACCACTATTTTTACACGAGCATGTGGTAAGTGAAAATTCTACTAAATTAATTTCCTTTTTCAATAAAAATTATAACTAATGCGTGCAACACAAAACTCAAATTACCAACACAGACGAGAATAATGTGACGATTTAAATCTTTGGTAACACAGACACAATAAATAGAATATGCACTGCACTAAACACTTGGAATATTCTTAATATTTTTTTTTGTAGGTGGCAATAAACACGGATAGTAAAATATAATACACACCACTAGGTGTAAATTTACCTGTTGAATCTAGAATTACCTATCTAAGGCTTCGAAGCTTAGATAAAGGATTACTCATTAGTTCTTAATTTATGCTTCATGGGCATATTTAATATTAAGAAATATTGGGGTCGATTCTGAGGGGTCATGTCTTGACAACTATTTTTAAAATTAAAATTTGGTATCACAGTGAAATATTTATTGTAAGGACGAATATAAACTAATATTCTAATTAATTTAAGTCAAAATAATTATAATTCTAGCTTATAATGGCCCATAGTAAATAGTAGTTTCGTGAAATTATCAAATTAAATTATTAGGTTAAAAGATACTTAAAGGCATCTCAGAATCGGCCCCATTATGTACAAAATATAGAATAATTCCCATCACACTTCCAATTTTAATTGACCATTCACTCGCGTATAATTTGACTTTTGACTAGCAACTAATTGGCGTCATACAAAAATAAAAGCGTACGCAAAGCAAGACAAAAGAATATTTCCATTCTTGCTCACACTTCTTTGTTTTAGTCAAGTCTCGTTTTAACTATTAGTTATTGCGTGTAATAGCTATGAAGGCGGCAGGTAGTATGCTTAATTTATGTATTGATGTTTCTAAAATTGTTTTATTTTTTTTACAAGTGGTTATAGGCAAAAACATAACTACAGCACAGCCTTTTTTTTTCTAAATAAAAATGTTTGCCAATATTCAATTACACAATTATTACTGAATACTTTAAAAACATAAACACACCATAAAACTATTATGCTAAATATTTGTGCTCTATTAAAATAACTTTAACCTATCATAAAATCAATTCTCTTAAAATGGGTGTATTATGTACATACCCGCATATACGTGTGTAAAAACCTGCCATGTTTATAAGATACATTTTCTAAAGTCATCAATTAAATATAATTCACAAATAAGTAGACTTTATATGCTTAAAAATGGAAAATAAGAAACCTGGCTTTTTCTTGTACTTTACATGCATTATCGTCGTAACTTATAAACATGGTAATACTGTACTCTAGTTATTTATTGTAATCACATTTCAAACTATATATTTATACATATCATTGTTAACAATGACTTAATATCTGATATAAAAAGCAACAAATAAAAATACTATCTGCACTGGCAACACAGAAAACAATGGCTCAACAACATGCACTAATTGGCATTATCTAGTTAAATATACCACGTTTCACGAACTTTCTTAAATTAAAAAGGAAATTACAACTTACTCGATATTGAAAATAAAGATTTAAAATTACCCTACAAACGTAGTATAAATAACAATTTTATGAATACTGGCAACAAAACTGGGTAAAAACACAAAATAACTTAGCAACTACTACTGCGTGGGGATGGCGAGTGCCAACAGATTCCAAGTCATTTACACAGAGGTCTCTGATCCAGTTTGAAATAAATAAGTTTATGCTACTGCAAGAATGAGACTGGATAAGACAGCGACATCTGTTGTCTGTTCAATCTGAATTGTAACTAACCTAAGGCCCTTGGAGCGTACATTCCAATAAATAGTTATAATAGCGGTTATAGAACCGCTTTAGTAGTAAGTTGGCAAATATTTTGTTATAAAATAAATGACTATTTTTATGTCTAACATATGTGTATATATAGGTTGTTTATTATATTATAAACTCTGAACATGGCAACATTTCATATTATTTGTGTAAGGAATATGCTAGAGACCTAATTGACATAAACTTTTACTGACTATAATACAAAAATATCACATTTGGTTTCAATGACTCGTTGAAATTAAACATAAATTCTGACATGGCACACATTTAAAACAAAAAAAAAAATACTTGAATAACTTTGGGATATAACACAATTGAGACTAATAATTATAACACAAACATGCATCGTGACAAGCTATAGTATAACTGAATTGTATAGACTATTTGCTTTTGCAATAGCGTATGTTGGTGGTCCCCTTATTCCCCTAAATTTGAATTTAAAAATTAATCTGTATTATTATAAACATGTATAAAATTTATTTGAAAAGAATACAAGCTAAGTTTCTTGTCAGTTCTTCTCATCTCGAAATCATTCCGAACTGACGGTAGATTTGACATAACAGTCTGTAATAGACCTACATGAATAAAGATATTTTGAACTTGAGATTTGAAAAAACAAAAGCTTCAATAGTGGCAAAATCATCTAGGTATTTTGATTTAAAAAAAAATCCAGTTATTTTTATTAGGAAATTAAACTACAGAACTGAGTTTGATGAAATTTCTATAGGACCACCAATCACAAAGAACGTTCTTTCAGAAAAAAAAAAAATTCCAAATCTGTTATGAACATTGGAGTTACAAGATTTGTTACTTTAAAATTACCATAAAATTGGAAACCCCTTCCTTCTTTTTTAATTAAGTTGAAAATATATATTTAATAATTTAATACTATATTATAATATAATGTAGTCTTTTAATATTAAAAAAAAATATGACAATAATAAAAATAATTTACATCCAATTAATAATACCACAAAAAACAATCTGTCAAATAACATATGCATCAAAACATGTATTGAATAAATAAATGATAGGTTATTGCAATTAATATATTATCCATATTTAGACATTGTTTAACTTTTTGTTTAATTGTTTGACTTAACATTGTTTAGTTTTATGAGAATAATGCAAAGTTCAAAGCAGTTCAATATTATTCATATAATAGAAGATATTGCAGAAAAAATGCAGTCTTAACACTTTGTGCGTGGTAATGGGTAAACATGTTTCAGCTGCAGGATTTGACACCCCTAACTGCCATGTAATATTTTATATTTTGGCATAGCAATCATGTTTTAAAGCAGAGTCACAAATCAATTTTTAAAATATGATTAGACTAGTTCGAATTCATGGTAGTTCAAAGCCATAGCTTTAACACGAAAGTTTAAAAGTTAAAAGTTTAAATTCAGTTTGTCAGTTATGCTATAGCATGCCTTCGTAGTAGCGAGTGCGGGGAGAGGATGTGCGGCCGGTGGGGACGGGTGGGGCGGTGTGGACGGGTGGGACAGCGGGCGGGCAGTGGCCGCACCTGTACGAGCGGCGCGACGCACACGCCGTCCTGCTGCTGCATGGAGGCCACCATGGACTGGTACACGGACGCCGACACCGGCACCGTGATCACGCCCGACACTGACACTGGGTAACCTGCAATGTAAACATCACATCTGTAGCCTCCATATCACTGAGACAGCCTAAAATGCTTATTCCGTTAAAACTAGAAAGTGTCACTTCATAAGTGGTTCTCTCATGAGAAATTAATACACATTTGTTGGTCGTACCGTGTCCGTCCTCGCCGGTGAGTATGATCTGTCCGTCGTGGTTGAGCGTGGCCTCCGCGACCGCGTTGAGGTCCACGGCCACCGCGCCCTCGCCCTCCAGCGCCTGCACCACGCCCACGCCTCCGCCCGCCTCCCCGCTGTGGATCTGCACGGACAAACACACAGTCGTAGTAATCATGGAAATAAGTTCACAATTGGTGAAGGTTTCATATAAGATACAGATGAAAGTAAATAAAAGTACAAATTGTTATCTCTTTTTTTTTTAATATTTGTTTTAAGGTAATTCCAGATGATATAATTTGTTAAATTAACAAATAAATTATTAAGTGTTTAAACATGAAATTTTGTATAATCATAGTCAGTTTGCATAGCTATTGTACGGACAAGAAGGCCATATTTTAATCAAATACTTGTAATTAATTTTTCTTTGTATTTTATTCATCATTTTTTTTTGTTTTTCATATTTTTTTTTTGTTAACTCCAATTTTTGTTTCTTTGTGTACAGCGCCTTGTATCTATATTGTTGCTACTTGTGAAAACCTATTAGTGGCTTATTTTGTGATCCTAAAGTGTATTTTTTTGCTCTAGTGTAGCCCTGGTTTTCCTATGAATAAATAACTAAATAAATAAAAATAAATAATAATTCCTCTTAAGTAAAAAGAAAGAAGTAATTTCCTAAATAGCTCAAGTGATTCAGAGATATTCCATATGGGACTGATTTATTAAGAGATTTTTTAATTTGATGTTGGGTTCAAGCTAAGACTTACCTCCCCAGATGGAATATAACAAAACTTAAGGGTCAGCTATTTGAAATTTTTAATCTAGAATGTATTGAGTAAAAAAATAAATTGATATTATAGGTTCAAGCGAAGCCGCTACAAATATGGTGTCAGATGGGTTATATATATATCAATCTATGATATGAGACTAAAATCACATTTTCTTTCCCTTGAGTATTTTTTTTTTTTGTATTTTTCTAATTGAAACTATTCTTAATTAGAAACTTAGTTTAATGATTTTGAGATTTGACAGTTCAATTAGAAAAATACAAAAAAAAAAAATATTACTCAAGGGAAAGAAAATGTGATTTTAGCCTTTTCTTGAAAGAGGTAATAGTCCCTCTATTACCTCTTGTATGTTGGAAGGGAGTTTGTTCCATAACTGGACAGCTCGATATGAGAAAGAGTTGCCCATAAAATGTGTCCTACACACAGGAAGTTCGAGTTGTTGTAGTTGTAATTTGTTTGCGATTCTAAGTAGCGTAGTAAACAGTGTAAGGTTGTACTCACGACTTGTGCGGTGGTCCCGTCTGGCAGCGTGATGATGGGGTTGTTGGGGTCGACCTGTATGAGCGACACCGTGCCGTCCGGGTTGGTGATGGTCTGCAGCACCGCCGGCGCATACTGCGACATCTGTACAACAACAATATCATTCACTGACTCTCCACCTACTGTCATCCAGTACGCGCAATACAACTGAAGTATAAAACGAGAGTTATAAGTTTTAAGCATTTCCAATATGGCGCTTCTAGAAACAGTGTTGCCATAAGAATAATAATATATTGCTTTTTTTTAGATCTCAGATAGCGTAATATTAGAATATTAGGGTTCCTAATACGCGTAGCACGTATTTGATGAATTATGTGTTGTATGGAAGTACAATTAAGATACTAATTAGCATTATGAAGATCGTATGTGTGTCTTATGGGTAAATATAGTTATGGGTAAATAATCACTATGTTATTTTATGATATTATAAGATTTGTTTTTCATTACTGTTCAAATTAAATACAAAATTATAGATAATTTGGACAGACGTAACAAATTAAACAATATTCTTTTGGTTCAATACCATAAACAATATTGCAAGAATTAAGAAATAGTATATATATATAAAATTTTAATTTCCTGTCAGCATTCGATTCTCATATACTGTCATCATATTTCAGCGTACATTATCCACTGTTCAATGTAGACTGCTTGTTCATTTCCTATTTAAGAACTGTGCTCTTGTCGATGGAGCTCGTACCGCTCATTACGACTTTCAGCGACTCTCTTTTTACCTCTTCGCCTCCTCCTTCCATCTTACTGTCTATTATAATGTACATAAATTCGTCGTGTCGTATAAAGTGTACAACAACATTTTCTTCCTTTCTGATTACAACAATTTTTTAAATTTGTCTTTTTCCTTAATCTTCAGTAAAAAAGACTAGCTAGACTAAGGTAGACTGCTCGCTATACTGTCAAAAATGTTCATTAACATCTCAGACTGGGTAGACCCTAATAGATGATACAACGTTCTCCACCCATTCCTCTTCACCATACTACTCGTAGTTATGGAGAGGAATTGCACCGTTTGTGTGGTGGACAAATCGACTAGTAAGATGCAAATAGCAGTCGTACATCGACATCAGCGAGCGTCATCTGGTCGATGCAGACTTGCTGCGAGGCGAGCACCGCGTGCGGCGCGGCGCGCGAGCCCGGCGCGCCCGAGCCCGAGGCGGCGCCCGCGCTCGAGGCGCCCTGGGACGACCCCGAGCCGCCGCCCGCGCCCCCTGGCGGCATGCACGCCGATATCTACCGTTAGTTACCGAATCCGAGCAGCAATCCCAGCGAGAGCACACGTGAACAATAAAAAAAACATTTTTAGATGAAAATTACTTGGCAATTGTACATTTTTTTTTTAACATTACACAAAAATACTTTAAATAAATATTATTTTCTATGCACTTTTTTTTTAAACATTTTTTAAATGCAGGTTTATAATTTAAATACATAACTAATATATTTTTTCTCAAACATGCTTGGAAATTTGAGCATTATTTTGACAACCTTCTTCGAGATAAATCGAACTTGCGGTACTGGTCGCGCAGCGGCCGGCAATAGTTGTATGAAAGTCCATATCTGTCGTGTTTAACGGCCAAATAAATTACTATGTAAAATCATATTTGTCGTGTAATTTAAAAATGGAACGATCTTCTACTCCGCAACATGGCGATCAAAGAGGTAACTTATCAAAGGTTTAATTTAAATTTCGAACTGGCTTGCACATAGAAAGCTGTTTAGTGAAAAAAAAATAATACTTTGGCGCGTAAAAAACTATTATTATTAGTTGTTCGTCAACCTCGTCATTTAAATAATTTTGTATTTGACAAAATGAGTTCAAGTGAAGACAATGAGTGTAATGAAATTATTTTAACGCCACCTGAAATTCAAGAGGCAGCAAGAGCCGTAATAGAAAACTCGTTCGTGAATTTGAATAATTTCCGCGCATTATTTGAGAAAAGTACTATACAAGCCTTGGCCGCAACTAGGCATTGATGGACTCACGTATGTGTGCCTCGGGTTCCCCTCGGCCCACATTCACACGTTCGTCCATCAATGCCTCTCTTGCCGGCCGCTGCAGTAATGCACTAATTATTAATAATTATTATAACATAATTAAAAATCTATTTTGAAAAGTTATGTATAATATTAATGGGGAAAATATATGGACCTTTTTTTTTTAATGAATATTGAAATTGATGCAAGTTTCTATTAGAGTATGTGCACAACATATACTAACGGGCTGTGTGGGCGGTCCCTTCTCGTCGTCCTCAGTAAACGCAGGCAGCAGATCCTCCCTGCCGTGGTACTTGTAGCAGTTTATCACAATCTGTCGCAACGCGTGCGTCCATGACATCTGGGTAATAAAACAAGATATTAAAAATTACTTCCTATTTGAATCCGAGCATGGACATAATAGAGTATACTGTTTTGCCCATGATACCCCCCATGCGTTGCCATTCCTGAGGACTCAGGTGTTATTCCTCTGTACCCAGTAAATTCATGCCATATCCCACCCTTCAAACCGAAACACAGCCATGCAAACACAACTGCTTCACGGTTGAAACACGAATGGGACAGAGGCACCCAAGCAATCGACTTTTATACAAGTCTCCCTCTAGTATAACTGGTAGGTTTAACTGTTCCTATATTTTGAAACAACCACGGCCTGTTTTGTTTGAGATATCCATTATATGTCACAATATACTCTGTGGTGTTAAGTCACCACTTCCATTAATTAGGTCGACTATCAGCTTGCTCAGTACATTCATAGCGATACATCTGTAGCAAAAACATGCAAAGGCATGGTGCGGCAGTCACCTTCTGCTTCTCGTCCTCGGAGCGCGCGTCCATACGCACGTTGGCCCACGGCAGGTCCTTGGGCCACCACGGCGGCCGCGTCGACTCGCGGCCCCAGCCCGGCTTGCCGCGCACTGCACACACGCATAACATCACTACCTTCATAACAAGCTATCAACTTCCCAGTGCTGGGCTTAATCTCCATCAACATCATATCAGCAGTTTTCTCTCTATACCATACCATATCAGCCGTTATCTGCCCAATGTTAAAAAAAAAGCTCCCCTTTGTGAGATTTTGGCAGTATTATTTAGTAGTAGTAGTCGCAACTGGTTCCATCCGTCAATCATTAATTTCCCTTAGTCGCCTCTTAAGACACCTACGCGAAAGGCAGAGGTAGCCCATTCAATGCCGGGACTACACGGCAATCTCTCCGTAAGAAGAGGATGTAATACAAGCTTTTAAAAAGATGCAGAATTTATAAGACAAAATAAATAAAGAAGTTATAAAGGAATCACTCATAACTATTTATCATGCAAAATTGTATGTAAAAGTTGACCGGTTTTTCTCGAAGCATTTCTATGGAGATACTCAATCTATATGTTGCATTCAAAACTGTAAACCAGTCAAAAGTACTTTTGACTGGTTAAGAGTTTTGACTGCAATATATATATATATATATATATATATATATATATATATATATATATATACACTAAAAGCTTGTTTGCCATACTAAGTAACATAAAAATAAAAAAAAAATATATGCCAGCTCACCCATGGAGTACTTGAGCATGAGCGGTATGAAGGCGCGCAGCTGGGCCTGCGTCATCTTCTCGACGGGCGTGGGGATGCCGTCGATGATGAGCGGCGGCAGCTCGAACAGCGACGGGTCGTCCTGCGGCGGCGGCGGCGCCTGCGGGCACCCGCCCAGCCCGAACTGACGCTCGTTATATATACTCCACTTGCCATATGCCGTTTGGCCGCTCCGCACTACTCGTGTACCGAGTCGACCTCACTCGAATGCCTACTGGGTACTCAGATACTATCGAATAATCGATACAGAACACGAATAGACGACATTCGAATACAAGTTTCGTTTATTACTCGTGTCTTTATGGGATTTTTTCATTTTTCATATTCATGTTTTATTTATTTTTCTTTAATTATTAAAGAAATTACATTTTTAATTATTAAAAAAAGTACAATCATAAAAAGCGATTATTCAAAAATGCTCATAATTATTTTCACTTGAATAAAATGTATTCTTATAAAATAACGCCAAATTTAATATATTCATTAAAAGTAAGTTTCAGAAATATCTATCTATCATAATAAAGTATTTGATTACCCAAGCAAGTATTACAACACTTGTCCAAGTCCACTGACTCGAGTCAATATTCGATTCTTATAAGGAGAACCAAGTAAAGAATACTCGAATACAAAAATGGGTCGACCCGGCACATCACTACTGGGGACCGCACGTTCGTAAGCAGTCGGTCACGTGAATTTAGACTATAGAAAATATGTAAATAGAGAAAAATGGAAGAAATACCTCATTCATCAAAACCCAAATGGCCAAATAGTTCTTGGGATTTATTCGTATGTGAGCAAATCTAGTCACAGATGTAACGCGGATTTATTATTATTTAGTGACTTAATTTTATTCGGGTACAATCTTGTTGTATATTCTAGGTTTTTGTTCTATTTTCCTTGTTCCTTTAGTCTAAATACACGTTAATATCGTTTCGATTTTAAAAAATTCCAATTTCTAGAAACTAAGTAACATTCTATGAGCGATTTCATTAATAAAAAAAATAGATCGACTCGTAAACTACGTAATTATTCCAATTATTTTATTTTGATTCTATTATTCCCATCATTTCTAAAATTATGGCAATGACATCGAAGATGTAGCCCGATACATTGGTACAAATGAGGTTTTTCATTTGAAACATTTGAAGGTATTTAGCCTCGGTCAATAGGAAACATATTATGGGATTTCATATAATTTACATTTTTCCATTATTAACATCGGTATAAATAAAATGGAATGTTACTTTGTTCAAATCTATGTCTAACTAAAGTGATTTAAGTCTTCTAATTATTTTTGTAAAAAAATAAATATTATAAGAAATAGTTTCATAACACTGATGAAACAATGCCTCTCCTATTACCTTACTAATATTAGAGGATTGAGAAGCCAATCTAAAATAATTGAACATTTTCATAATAAAAAAAAAATTAAGAGAAAATTTATTTTTTTTTTTTTTTTATGAAACGCGCCTACTCATTTGCCAATGTTAATTATGTCAATCAAACTTACATGTCAATGTCTAACAAAAAAAAAAAAAAAAAATAACAAGTACTATTGTTCCTATTTTTAAAAATTTCACAATCTTTTTTAATTTACTTTTTTAATACCTAAATGTAGACACAAACAAATCGCCACACTTATCGTTCTTATTTTAAAAATTCTAATAATATATTTGAATGAATTGTTGTTAGTCGGCAGGAGCGAGATAACATTGGCAGAGGAGGGCGCGGCTAGGAGCCGGCTTACCTGCTGGGCGAGCGCGTTCTCCAGCTCCTCCATGATCATGCAGCGCAGGTTGCGCACCACGTCCTCGAGCGGCTTGGCGCCGAACACGCGGTACGACGTGTTGGGCTTGCCCGGCGTCGCCACCAGCACCACCGCCTGCTGCCCCACGCGGGTCGCGAACTCTTCTATCGTTTGCTATTTACATAAATATCGACCATCAATAACAGTTCAGTTTTTTTTTTATACAACTTAGAATGGCAAACGAGCTGACGGCCCACCTGATGGATAGTGGTAACCGTCGCCTATAGACATGAGCAGTACCATGGACATAACAGAGTATACTGTTTCGCTCATGATACCCCCCCCCCCCATGCATTGCCATATTAATTTGGGTAATTTTAAGAAAGTATGATTAATTTTGGTATACTTTTTAATTTCGAGTTTTCACTAACATAGATATTCCCAGAAAGTATTTTATGAAATGTTTCCTTCTATATTTTGGGGATATCGGATTTTTTAGGGACTCAAAATAGAAAGATATATTTGAAAGGTGCACGGAAGCTGGACAAAGATTATAATCATAGAAAATTACCCATTTGTATTGTAGTTTTATATGTGTACTGGGGATGCAGTTTGTTTTTTTTATCTATATGGGTTCAAATAGAACTTTATGCAGGAAACAGGCACCTCTTTTGAACATTAAAGGTTATGTGGCTAGTTTCTGTATAATAAAGTCCGATAGTGTATGGATATGAGCATTTGTAACATAAATATGTTACAATAATTTAACAAATGTTAGTACAGCACACCCATATGAAATCTTACAAGAATTATCAAGATTTTTATAAAAAATTTGGTCTGTTGATTTACAACTAATTTTTCTTTCTTAAAAGGATGCTAAGGGTTTCACCCTATATATACATAAATAATGAATAGGTATAATGTCGAGAAAGACCCATAATGACTTGACAAACAAGTTGACGACCTAGGACAGAAGTGCCTACTTCTTTCTGTCCTGAATGATGGAGAGCCGACCCCAACTGAAAAGAGAAAGGTGTGATATCGTTTCTTACTCTAAGTTTCCTGAGCAATCTGTTCTGGTGTCGTTTTCTGACGGACGGGTTTGTTTCAAACGAGTGCGGCCGCTTGCGTTTCTTGGACGACGCGATAGCGGCAGCGGCGGCCATGCCCACAGGTCCTGGGAACATTTACTCATCAATAGGCCCAAACTTCTATACAATGGAAGAGTTTACTATTTAATTAGCCTTCAAATAAAAGAAGCTCTTTTGGGGGGAAAGGGATTGTTAGTAATGGAGACTGAGAATCTCATTGCTAGCAATATACCCAACCAGGTCGACCTCCTCGCGGTTTTCCTGGAAACTATCATGATTAATTCCTGATGAATTCATCATGATGAGCTAACTGGTCTGTTTTCATTCTCATCTATCATCCTTCACTAGTGCTCCGCCAGCGTATCCCGTTAGCGCAGGCGGGGTTGCTATACCATTTTCAACGAGAAAAAAAAAAAAAAGAAGCTTATCATATCTTATTATTGCATTAGAGGCTAAAAAGGTATTTAAAGATTGTCTAGATTAGATATTTAGGATAAAGTATTTTTTATTGTATGCTTAACGTTATCTTTTCCTCGATTTTATTTTTGTAATTTTAATTTAGAAACATAACAATTTAAAAAAATAAAAAATAAATTTATGTATTATGTTGCAATTTTCAGAGAGATTAGTCAATAACCATTGCAATATTTTTTTTTTAATGTAGATATAATATGTTAATCGTTATAAATGGAGCTAGACGTTAATTGACATGAAATTGTAATTGACATATTGTTTTGTTATAAGAATTGTTAATTTAATATTTAAGTATTTAAAATTTTGCATGCCTAATTGTGGCGAAATATGTGGACTTAGTATTATTTTATCTATCTGTATATTTACCATATTTCTTGCAAATAAATATTCATTCATTCATTCATTCAACAGGTAATGTGGCTTTCTTCAGCATAACTAGCTCTTAGTAAAAAAAAAACCCTTGCACTACTTCCACAGATTTTTCCAATTAAAAGCTGAATTAAAAAAAAAAAAACATTGATTCATATTTTAAATACACTATTGCGACTTAAATTGCGCAATTGCAGGGAAATAGTATCTACATACTAGATTTTTATTGCCGTCGTTTCGACGTGGATTGCACCACGTCGTGGTCACCATCAGGATTGAAATGAGAGGCCTTTTCTGGAAGCCCTCAAAGTGTTTAAGTCAGCGAGGTGATTAAGGCCTAATAGCGTATTGAAAATATACATTTGAGACTGACCAGCGGCGGCGAGCTGCTTGGTGACCTCGTCGCTCATCGCGTTCTTGATGATGTCGGCGCTGTCGTCGTAGTTGGAGCCGGCCGGCGACGACGCGCAGTCGTCGTCGTCGTCGGACGCGCCGCTTAGCCCGCACCCGTCCACCTGGGACATATCCTGCGAAGAGCTCTGCCATTACGATGGACCACTTAGTTTTTTTTTTCTTTTGATGGGTGAAAATGGTATGGCAACCCCGCCTGCGCTAACGGGATACGCTGGCGGAGCACCAGTGAAGGGTGATAGGTGAGAATGAAAACAGGTCTGTTAGCCCAACATGATGAATTCATCAGGAATTAACCATGATAATTTACAGGGAGAACCGCGAGGAGGTCGACCTGATTGGGTATATTGCTAACAATGGGATTCTCAGTCTCCATTACTAACAATCCCTTTCCTTCCTGGACCACTTAGTTTCGTGCGTGTATGCGTACATACTGCATTCATTTTTTAAATTTATTTATTTAATCTTTAAAACACAGCATACATAGAGATGGTCACCACTTTCAATCAGGTGGGCTGTCAGCTTGTTTGCCATTCTAAATTGCATAAAAAAAAATATGAACTATGAGGCGGATTTAACACCAGATGGTGCATTCATAAGTAACACTCTATTTTGTATAAGTTTATTATTGCAGTAACAATAATACAATAACTGCAATTTTAATTTAAAACAATATTTAGCTAAGTGATATATTACTAATATAATGACCAGCAAATTATATATCATATTAGATGGGGAAACTATAATTGTAAGAGAATTAATATAATGCTGTGAATAGCATTTAACTATGTTGCACCAAAAGTAAATTGAAGATTACAAATTTAAGTGTTTCCATATTGTATTTTATTTCAATATTGTAATGTCTTTTATAAATATTTAAGTCAAAGGAAGTTAATTAAATGTATGTAATTTATTATTCAATAAAAACAGGTATTATTATTAAAAACAAAAATGAAATTATAACTAGATTATTTAAATTTTATGATTTAGAAAATAAAGAGTTGATATATTTGTTCTGGTGTTGTTAGAGTTGATAAATCAAACAGTTGTATTGGTGAAGCCTAACTTAAAATTTAATTTATATTTTATCTCCATACACCATCAAGAAGTGATAAATACTATAAAAAACCTACACACACAATGTTGTGGGCACAAGGTAGTTATAAAAGAAGAGTGCCAATAAGCATTACCTCCTCTGCCATATCCATAGACTCTGTGCTAACGGCGGCGTTCATGATGTCAAAGTCGGTGTCGTGGTCCTGTTCGCGGCACCTCACCTCCAGGACCATTGGAGTACAAACTGAGGGTTAGCAGCGTAACTCGCACGCCTATAGTTAACACGCTCAGTATACTCCAATTAAAACCTGTGGGTTCAAAATAAACTGTACTTAAAGTTAAGACAAGTTTTTAAAACAGCTATCAAAACCTATTTTGATACCTATAATATATGTGGCTTAAAAGTGGTAAACAATGAAGTTACCTTATGAATAAGACTCTCTAAATCCTTACTAATGTTATAAATGTGAAAGTGAATTTGTTTGTTACTTTATACTGCCTTAATGACTTAACAAATCACTATGATTTGTTTTTTATACAATTTAGAATGGCATACAAGCTGACAGCCCACCTGATGGAAAGTGGTAACAGTCGCCTATACACATGAGCAGTACCATGGACATAACAGAGTGTACTGTTTCGCCCATGATACCACCCATGCATTGCCATTCCTAAGGACTCAGGTGTTATTCCTCTGTACCCAGTAAATTCACACCAGATCCCACCCTTCAAACCGAAACACAGCCATGCAAACACAACTGCTTCACGGTTGAAACACAAATGGGACAGAGGTACCCAAGCAATCGACTTTTATATAGTCTATATATATATATATATACTATATGAGATTATAATGTAGATGAGGATATAAGCTACTTATATCCTTCTCTATCTACTATCTATCAATGGGGGTAAAAGCTATCTATTAAAGTTATCTATAAATTCTATTTGAAATCCTATTTAAAAATAAAAGTACTATTGTCATCTTTCACCCAAAATAAAATTACTTCTGTGCAATTTATAAATACTAATTTGCAGACAATACTCCTGAGACAAGTAAATCTGCTAGAATGCCAGAACATTTACATACTCCAGTCTTCTTTTCTTTAATATTTCTTTGTAATCTTATATAGTTCAAACATGTATTCATGTAGTTGAAGAAAATAATAAATTTCTTCTAATTTCTACCTTTGATTATTTGTATTTACAATAAAAAAGACCCTAAACAATTATAATAAGAGTTAAATCATAGTTCTGTTCAAGTCTCAAAGTAAATTGAGGTACAACCCAATTTACATAACTTTTGAATGTAGTAATTCTATCATTAAGATCGCTTTATGATTAATACAGTAGATATACTAATTAGCACATGGTATGTGATTTATCTATGCATCTGCATAGATCTCAGCACTGGATAATTAGATATTTTTTTTTTACACTGTGGAGGTGGCAAACAATCATACAGCCCATCTGATAGCAAACAGTCACTGTAGCCTATGGACATATGTATAACAATAGTGCTATTTTTTTTATTTGTCATTAAAAATACAACAAGTTTCTCATACTCAGAACATCAAATTTTTGTGTTAACTATTACTTCTATTGGAGAGTGAATAAAGTTGGTAAATCAAATTGGTAAGCAAGTAGTGTAGGCCATCTTAGTTAAACAGGTTTAAGCAGAGTCACAATTGTTCAATTTGTTTGTGTTTAGTGAATACAAAAGTTGATAGATAATTAAAAGGCTGGGCAAATTTGAATGAAATTTTGTACATAGACACACCACAGATAGGAAACGTTGTAAACAGCAAGAGCTGTAAATAGTTAGTTTTACCTATAAACATAAATGTTTAATAGACAATATAGGTGTTTCATAAGTATAGTATATGTAAATTGTATGATCATATAGGTTATTACACCTACTGAAATAGGAATTCACAGGGGTTTCACATTTCATGAGAATGCCATAGGTAGGTAACTCATTACAGTAAGTACTAATGCTTAACAATGTAGCTATTATGTATTATTTGGGTAATTCTCATGAAATCTCGAAATTCCAGTCCTAGTAGTTTTTACAATAAACTTAACAGACTTAGGATGGTATTTTATTTTTTCAGAAAGAACATGATGAAGGCTAAAAATTTTGGTAATAACTTTGGAATCGTACGGGCATTTATGAGGAATAAAAAATATATAGTACATTGAAAATCATTCCCTCACTATGTCCCAAACTACAGATTAAAACATTGTATGAAGTTATTATAGAAAATTTCTCAAAAAATCTGTTTGTAATTATGGCTAGTCTCTTGTAAATACAACAACTTTTTAAAATTTCTCTGAATTTAAGATCATAAATCATCAACAAGTTCTCTAATGTTGACTCAACATGTGTCCCATGAAAAATAATCATTCCCTCATATCATTATCAACAGTCGATAAGTAGGTATATTTATGATGACTTCAATAACATTATCATTAGTTTTTGATAGTTGGTAGTACGGTCACTTGTTCGGAATGGTGAATTGACCTCACGCTTGCTAGAGTACTTGTTGGAAATAAATATCCATGAAATTTTGTAAAGATTATATTTTAAACAATCATTCCATCACAGTGTAGAATAAACAAGGTAATTAAAATATTTGAATTTTGATGAAGTAGTAAAGTATGTTTTTGGGGGTAGAGTGTAGAGAAAACAGTTAGATGGTAACAAGAGGTTATGTTGCGAGATTTTTTAGGTTATGGTTTATTTTGTCATTCCCTCATTTTGAATAAAAGTGAGGGAATGATGATTTATGAGGTAATTACTTTCAGACTGGATCAACTTGATTTTCGTACATGTTACTTCCGAATTTTTAAGTTAATATAACCTAGTAGAATTCTAAATGTATTTAAAAAATAAATGATACGATTTCATATGAGCAATGAATATAAACATCATTTCCTCACCTCAGTCATCATTCCCTCACATTTAAATATTTTAAGGGTTCATAAACTCGTTCAAAACTCATTTATTCTGGGGACCATGATATTTTTCACTCCTAATTACATGAATAATATAAATTTAAGAGAAAATGAAGATCAATTAATTCAAACAATTTTCATTAATTTATTAATAGGTAATTTCGGGATTTCATGAGAATTACCCATTTGTATTTATCTAGCTTATTATAAAATTGGTTGGATATTTTTTAATAGATATATAAAGAGTCATACAATTATTTCAACATAAGATAGAAGACTTGTTTATGATTTTACACTAATGCTTGATATTATTACTACTAGTGTTAGTAAAATAGTTAACATTACCAAACACCCTACAAAGTAAACATGCATCATACGAAAGTATGACAAATTTGATACAAAAAATTTTTTATTGATCCAAGTTTAAGCAAAAAAGCTGAATCACTTTCTCCCTATTTCAAATGAATCTACTTATTAGACACGAACTTCGCTTTTCTATTGTGTAGGTAGCGAGCCCAGAAAAATCAATACTCAAGCATCCCACACAGATGCCCCAGAACATAGCGACACCAAACTAAACCTTGGGTTACGATTGTTACCCCATCAAGTAGCCACCACAGCTTGCAGTCGCTGCATTTGATAAGTTTCATTTCGATGCAATAAATGCATCGCTGATGCATGATACGTAATGACGCAATATTTTTGTATGTATTAATTGGATGCATTGCATGGTGGTTCACTGCGGCGGCTCGGTTTCGAAGACAAATGACGCACTCTTTTGCGGCGGCGTAAAGGATAAGCCCAAATGAATGGCCATCATGAAGGGGAGTCGCGCGTTCGAGCAGGCCCAGACAGAATAGAAAGACTACGGCTGCGTACGCACCTGCGTGATTTGAAACACATCTTGCGGCTTCAATTGAAGTCTTCTGGACTCACTGTGATGTAACTGCTCCAGAATCACACTTTTCAAGACTTTTTCACTTAACCAGACACTGCATTCACAAAAATCACAGAGTGCACAAGGGACCCCGAAAAATCCGAATCCTCCATTAGTATCGATCGGTAAACGGGGTGGACAAATAGTACATACTTCATAGATACAAAGCGCCATTTTGTACGAGTCTGCGCGGTGTGATTTTTCGCATGGAAAGGGAAATTACCCCTCTGCCTGAGGGGGTACCGGAAAAGTAATTTGTAAGTTTATTATGATACTGAGAGTTTGTTAATAGGGCTGTACTTACCAATTTACAGTGTGAAATTAATTAGAAATTATCATGACGTCTTATATGATGAACGTCCAAGAAAAATTCAAGTTTATTTTTGAAAACATTGATCAATTGTCATCTAGTGGCGCTATCTATCCTACTTTTCACGAAGTATTTTTGACATACGAATGTAAACAATATCCACAATTTCTGTCAGTTTTATTGTTGACAAAAGTGTAATCTAGTAAAATAGTATTTTATTCCCAAATTCTAGGGATAATAACACTGTAATAGTTGTTAATTGCATTAATTTCTGTACCATTTGGAAAAAATAGGTAATTATCTGTTAAATTATTAATAGTGTACTTGACTATCAATAATATCGTCCCAATAGCATTTTTTTTATTCTAATACTTGTTATTTTTAATGAAATAAATACATACATTAGATTTATAATAAAATTATAGATTTGCTATTAACTGTACATTTATTTATAAAGCATAATAAAAATCGAGATGTAAATGTAAAACTGGATATAGGTTATGACAAATTTTACTCCAAAATATAATTATAATCCCTGATAAAGTGTTGCTTCAATCCTAGTTACCTATTGGGTAGCCTTGTTTCTGTTTATTCTCTTCAATATTTATCTTTTTTTAATTTTGTTTTAGTAGGATACATGTAAAGGAAAACTTAGCAGCTTAATGATAATATCAAATTAATATTATGTATCATATGTATGCACAAAAACATTTGTTTATTGAATCAGTTATTTTAATTCGATAAAACATTTGTTATCTGAGGGCCTCTAATGAAATGTTTTTCAAATTTTTGGAGCTGACCAACAAATTTATTATATAATTTAATACATACTGTTAAAAATTATAAAAATGTTAATATATTGTCTTTTTGGACTTTTATTGTAGGATTTATTATGAATGAAATGTTAAGTTTCATTTACTCGGTCTACTTCAGTATGAACAAAAACACAAAATTGAGGCAGAAAATTTAGAATTACATTTCATGGTGGATTCTCTCTGTATTCCTTTGTATTTATACCACAAGGGCCCTGGTGCAAATATATTCACAATAAATTTGCCATTGTTGAAGGGTGAAAAAAAGAACACTCTTATAATCTCTTATCATTTTATATTGCATTTTTTTTAACCTAAATGACATAGAACTTACAATCTAAATGACTAATTATTAATAAGTATTTCATTTACATAAAGTTATGTATATAAAAATTAAAATAATAAAATTAAGAAATCACATCATTACTTATTAAGTAAATAGTTATATTATTTGCAACAATAATTTTGTTTCATCATCGCGGTCTGGGTTTACGTTCACTGGATTCTTCAGATGAGCCTGTTAAAAAAAATATGAGTATTATTTTCTGTTTGACTGGAAAAGAATATTATATAGGATTAAGTCCACCTTTTGTAATGTTGACCATATTATAAAAAATAAATAAATTATTATAATATTTTTGTAACATCCAATTTTATAGTAACTACCCATATAACTATATTTTTTTTTTAATTTGGAAGTTTTCTACTCTATTTAATACTGGTATTAAATGACATAGTGAACTTTATCTGATATCTCATCTAGATCTCCCAACTGTCTTGAATGTTATTTTATGTTAGAAGTAAGCTAAGTAGCTTTTGAATTAATAAAATAATATATTTTCAATGATATTAAATGTTTTTGCTGTTAACCTATTTTTGAAGGGGGAAAGGGATTGTTAGTTATGGGGTCTAATAACCTAATTCTTGATGATAATAATAATGATAGTTGTTATTACTGATCTAAGTATATATAGGTTAATAAGCTTATTTCTATAAATTATACTATAATGAATGTATAGGTATAGTGCTAGAAAAAAAAAACTCAAATCTGAACTAAGATGCCTGATCCCCATGGGTGTAGTGGGCAAATATCCATCTCCAGCAGTGGGATGTTCATGGATTATTATGGTGGCGATAAAGAAATACCATATGAGCGCCGACAGTTCCGCCCCCACCAGCCAGGCTCGCACTGGCACACGCCGCCGACGCACGTCCCGTGCCAGCAGGGTCGCGTGCATTCACCCCCGCGCATCCCCACTTCGCAATGGTCCCCGCCGAAGCCGATGGGGCAGCGGCATTTGTTCACACCTTTGCACCGTCCACCGTTCAGACATGGGATTACACATTTTGCTGAAATTGGGAAACACTTATAAATATTCCTAAGGTTTCATTAAAATATCTATTGTTGAGTTTACAGGTGATGGTCACCACTTTCCATTAATTGGGTCGTCAAATTGTTTGTCATTCTAAGTTGCTTAAAAAAATACGATAAACTAATATAAAAATTTATATCTAAACACCTGATTAATTTGTGATACTACGTAGTAAATTACGTGAATAATATTTGCTTTCCTTTTTTTATACAACTTAGAATGGCAAACAAGCTGACGGCCCACCTGATGGAAAGTGGTAACCGTCGCCTGTAGGCGTGACCAGTACCGTGGACATAACAGAGTATACTGTTTCGCCTACGATACCACTTATGCGTTGCCATTCCTGAGGACTCTGGTGTTATTCCTCTGTACTCAGTAAATTCACGCCATATCCCACCCTTCAGACCGAAACAGCTATACAAACGCAACTGCTTTATGGTTGAAACACGCATGGGACAGAGGTACTTAAGCAAATTTTTATATAAAATTTTTTGTACAAAGTCTCCCTCTGGTGAAAAAGGTTGCTAAGATCTCTTAATATAAGGCCGCACCTGTGCCCAGCGACTGTAACAGGACTGTAACAGGTTGTTATCATAGGATCCTTATCACGATGTACAAATAATATCACCATCATTATCATATCAGACAAACTGTCCACTGCTGTACATAGGCCTCCTACATAAAGGGGGATTTGCCATTAGTTGCCATGCTTGGCAGGCGAGTTGGCAATCGCAGTTAGCCTTCGGTGATGTTTTAAGAGGGACGCTGCTGCCCATCCCTTGACCATTAAGTTCCCTTAGTCGCCTCTTACTATTTCCACGGCAAAAAAGGTAGCCTATTCGAAGCCGGGTCTACAAGGCAAATAATATAACTGTCTACTTATAGTTATAATAACTGTATTAATTTATCCATTTTATATCTTAAGTAAGCAAGTAGAGACTACCAGAGGGATACTTTGTACAAAAGTCGTTTGCTTGGGTACCTCTGTCCCATTCGTGTTTCTACCGTGAAGCAGTTGTGTTTGCATGGCTGTGTTTCGGTTTGAAGGGTGGGATATGGCGTGAATTTACTGGGTACAGAGGAATAACATCTGAGTCCTCAGGAATGGCAACGCATGGGGGTATCATGGGCGAAGCAGTATACTCTGTTATGTGCATGGTACTGCTCACGTCTATAGGCAACGGTTACCACTTTCCATCAGGTGGGCCGTCAGCTTGTTTGCCATTCTAAGTTGTATATATAAAAAAAAAAGTAGAATGTAAATAAGGAATATGAAATTGTTGAAAACAATGCCAATACTTACAGAATTCACACCTTAATCCATAATACCCTTTAGTGCACTGGCAGGTATCTTTTTGTATGCATTTGCCACCATTCAAACACTTCTGTGAGCATATACCTGGAACAACTTATTTCATTAGACGTGCATTCTCTTTCAGGCCAAGTGACAATGGTTCGACCGACGGTTCGGTTGCTACAAGCAACGAGACCACATGTACCTTATTGGAAAAGAAATCCCCATGTAAGTATATTTGTTAATATCATAATTTATAATAGCTGTTTCTCGCGGCTTTACCCGTGTGACTTAGTATATAAAATATCCTGTGTTAGGATATAACTTACCAGTGTATCAAATTTTATTAAAATTAAAAATGTGTTCAAGGGTGATTGAGTAACAAACATGCAGACATGTAAATAACCAAATACATACATACTAAAATTACATATATAAACGAATAAATATATATAAATAATAAACATATATAAATATATAAACACATACATATATGACATATACTATATTATACACGAAATTGAGAATAATATAAAGTACTTACTGCTCGGATAAAGTAAAAAAGTGAGCGTAAACGTTTTTTTTGTAAAGACGGTATTATCTTATTATCATATTTATATACTTAGGAGATAGAAAGACATTTTTTTTATTGATTTTTTAATATACTATTATGATTTTATTATTGTCAACCTAATGAATAACTGAAGACTTTTTTTTTAGTTTTTATCGTAATTAATTAATAATAATAATAATAAGAAGTTTATATCGAAATAAATGTTACAAACATTTTTAAATATAGGTGAAACCCTGCTCCCTAATTAGGTAAATCCTGTACTTTAGGATAAGCAGTGCTCTTCCTATACGGCTTAATTTTACTACTTTATATATATATATATATATATATATATATATATATATATATATATAAAAGAAACAGTAAAACTTAACTGAAATAACATAACTGAAGTTATGTACCTACCCATCAATGCACTTGCATGCATATAAGACTATAAAGCGAATTTTTGTACTTCACAATAAAAATAGAGATCTGTAAAAATAATTTATTGGCAACTAAATAAATGAAAGTCATATTATCTCGTCGGCAATCTAACAAAATGTATTTGTCATGTTTGCAGTTGGATAAAATGATACGTGTGGATCACGCAGGTGAACTGGGCGCGGACAGAATATACGCGGGCCAAATGGCAGTGCTGGGCTCCACAGCCGAGGGGCCGTTGATCAAGCATATGTGGGAACAGGAGAAACGACACCGCGAGAAGTTCGAAGAGCTTATCAACGAGTACAGAGTGCGCCCTACCGCGCTCACACCGATATGGAACATAGCTGGTTTTGCACTTGGAGCTGGTGAGTGTAGTTGCTTGTAAACAAATTTAAGAGGTACATTTTACAGAGATATGAGCCTGATAATCTTAATAATTTCAGTTATATGCTGTCAATTATAATAAACCTGGGCTTAGGTCTTCTCTATTATTTAAAGACATTTAAAGCAATTATAAAAATTTATGAAAAATAATGAGCATAGACACTAATTTATTTTACTATTTGAGGTAATAGAATAGTGTTTAATTTTTATAGAAAGTCCAATATGACTATTATTTTGTTATTTATTTATTTTATTTATTTAACACTTTATTACACCAACATAACAGGATTTGTTGAACAATTTTCAATACGTATATAAGTACAAAAGGCGGTCTTATTGCTAAGCAATCTCTTTAAATTTAGTTAAAATTAAAATAATTACTTGTAATAATATTATTAAAATAATATAGTAAAAAGTTTGTATCTCAAAATCCTGAGATTTTCTTTTTTTTTTTCTTTTTATTTTAGAACATTGAGGTGGCAAACAAACATACGGTCCACCTGATGGTAAGCGGTTACTATTGCATATGAACGCCAACAATATCAGGGGCACTACGCTCTATCCATCATTTTATTTTTTTCAGGTACGGCACTTCTGGGCAAGGAAGCTGCAATGGCGTGCACTGTCGCGGTAGAAACAGTCATAGTTGATCATTACAACGACCAGCTTCGGACGCTTATGGAGGACCCCAACATAGACAAGGACATTCTGGAGACCATCACCAAGTTCCGTGATGAGGAACAGGAGCACCACGACACAGGGATCGAACACGGCGCCGAGCAAGCGCCGTTCTATAGAGCTCTCACTGAAGTTATTAAAGCTGGTTGTAAAGTGGCCATAGAGATATCGAAACGCATATAGGTTACTATTATATAGTATATTTTTAAAATTACATAATATTTTACAGAATATATTGCTAGTTATTTAGACTTGTCTATTATTTATCAAATATAAAAAATACAAATCCTTAAAAAAATTAATCTTCAATTGTAAATATGAAGAATATATGTATATATATATATATATATATATATATATATATATATATATATATATATATATATGTATATATATATATATATATATATATATATATATTCTATTGTACATGTAATTTAATACATAGTCAAGTCAATCATGTATTTGAGACCAGAGGGACACTTTGTACAAAAGTCGATTGCTTGGATACCTCTGTCCCATTCGTGTTTCAACCGTGAAGCAGTTGTGTTTGCATGGCTGTGTTTCGGTTTGAAGGGTGGGATATGGCGTGAATTTACAGGGCACAGAGGAATAACACCTGAGTCCTCAGGAATGGCAACGCATGCGGGGTATAATGGGCGAAACAGTATACTCTGTTATGTACATGGTACCGCTCATGTCTATAGGCGACGATTACCACTTTCTATCAGGTGGGCCGTCAGCTTGTTTGCCATTCTAAGTTGTATAAAAAAAAATTGCATAAATATAGGTATGAATTTTGTTATATAGTATAATATATTTAAAAAATAGTTTAGATCGCCATGTTCCGCCGTTATTAGGCATACAAATATTAAACTCTTCGTTAAAATGATTGAATACAACACTAAGCCTGAATTTAAGAAATTTTGATGTAATTATTATGTACTGTTAAAATTAGGCATTGCGACAATCAATGTTACAGTCATAAAAAGTTATAATTTAAATAACAAATACACTAAAATTAATAAATATACAATTTATACATAGACGACGAAGCCGTGGTTTAAACTAAGGATAAATTATTTAACAATTACATGGCCGTAGCTAGGGGAAGGGGGGAGGAATTGAGGGGCGATGTGTCCTATGTTAAAAGTTCCAATGCCCTACCTTAAAATGGAAGGCCCCAAGAAAATTAAACCTTAAACATATGTTCTAGCTACGACCCTGTACAATTAAATTCACATACCTCCTTCACAATTCCTGCCTTGATACCCCGGCGGGCATGAGCACACCCCCGGTGCTGTACAGTTACCGCCATTCAAGCACTGGGGGTAACAAAGCGCAGTACGGCAATGCTGCCCCATATACCCATCGGGGCACTGGCATATTTTTTCATGGTTGCACCGACCTTGATTAGCACATTTTTTGTCGCATTCCGGATCCGGTTCTGTGAATTTATTTTTTATTTTTATCTTAATAAATATCATAGCTATATTAATTCTGTTTTTAGATTTTACATTTTTTTTTCAAATTCATCCAAAAAATAAAATTGAAGTGTTTTATTTTGGTATTATTTATTTCTGTTTCTTTTTATAAATGACGAATTAAATTATGTATGGAATGGAATTACCAGTGCTAAGTATCGTGGGTCCTGGGTTCAATTCTCGGGACAGTCAATTTAAGAAAGTAAATCACTAATAATGAGGAATAAAATGTGCAACCTAATCATTTACTGCGATCGTCACTATATCTCACAGTACACGTGAATTCGATTCCGTTCTAATACATACATAATGTCATTAAATATCCGAAGAGACGACAGTATCTAGGTTATTGGGAGAAATTATGGAAAAGTATGTTTTGATATTCACTACAATGGCTGTGAAATTGCAGGGCACAGAAGCATAACCCCTTCATTTTAATCATTATTTCAGCTATTATTCGCCCACTGCTGGACATAGGCCTCCCTTATAGACTGCCATAAGGAACGGTCCTAAGCCAACTGCATCCACTGACTCCCTGCAATGCATTTGACGTCGTCACTCCATCTAGTGGGGGGAGGGGTCGTCTTATACTGCGTTTACCCGTACGGGGTAGCCACTCAAAAACCTTCTTCATAACCCCTTAGTTTTCAGAAATGACAACGTATGAGGTCTATCATGGGGTATATATATATATATATATATATATATATATATATATATATATATATATATATATAGTCTGTTATGGCTATTTTTTATGTCTATAGGTAAAGGTTACCACTTCCTTATCAAGTAGGCTGTCAGCTTGTTCGCCATTCTAATTTGCATAAAAAATAAACTAGTTACAAAATGCCTTTATGGTTTAAACCATTCTGTGCATGAAGTAGGCCTGGTCCAGACCAGGTCCACCTTATCATCATCATCATCATCATCATCGCCAACTACAATCGTGTAGATATTTATATTCCATTCTAATCAACAAATAATTCTCCATAAAATCTCTCTCTGTTCTTTTCATTCAATTCATCATTAAACAGATTGTTGAAGACGATGTATTAATGATTGTACCAACATTAAATAGGGTACCAAGAATAACACAATATCACTAGCTTTTGCCCGCAACTTTGCGTCAATTTTGGAAGTAGGTAACCTTTTCTAGACGACGTGTAAAATATACACTAGATTTTAAATCAGACCTTCGGAAGGACAATTCCTAAAGCATATTAAAATGAAACATGATACCAGAATTTAAGTTCGACTTACAAGAAGAAAATCGTATGTAATTTTTTTTTTGTTTTGACTTCTATTGCTCTTAATAAGATATCTCATGTAATTTTTTGTTAAATTTCTTCTATGTACAGACATTTTACCAGAAGAAGATTTTGTACAAAAGTCGTTTGCTTGGACACCTGTTTCATTCGTATTTCTACCGTGAGGCAGTTGTTTGCATGGCTGTGTTTCAATTTGAAGGGTGGGATATGGCTGTGAATTTACAGGATACAGAGGAATAACACCTGAGTTCTCAGGAATGGCAACGCATGGGGGATATCATGGGCGAAACAGTATACTCTGTTATGTACATGATACTGCTCATAGGCGACAGGCGACAGTTACCACTTTCCATTTAGTGGGCCGTCATCTTGTTTGCCATTCTAAATTTGCATAACAAAAATTACAATTTAATTACATTAGTAAGATTTGTTTCTATCAAGCATGATCTAGAAAGCAAGCAGAATGTATGTACAAACCTAAAAACGCAAATGCTGTGAGCAGAGGCACCGTGAGTTCAGCCAATCAGCGGACTCCGCGACAAGGCACCAGAAAAAACAATGCATTCGTGTTAATACCGCCTGAGTGTACACGCTCAGGCTTGCGGCGGGCCGTAACGCACACGACACAGTTTAATAATAGCCACTGCCTATAATAAATGTTTACCGTGTGAACCGCCATTATGTTTATTTATTTATATGCTATTTTACTTTGACTTGTATTATCGATAGTATATATGTAACAAAAATGTACACAGACGGACTTATCCCTTAAAGGGTTAGATAGATAGATACTCTTTATTGTTTCCTCCAAAAGATTACAGTTGTAAACAGAACATGAAATAATCAAAATGAGAAAACAATAGGCGACCTTATCGCTAAAAGTGATCTCTTCCAGGCAACCTTAGGATGGAGAGGAGTAATTATAAACAGTTTGATCGGAAGCACGATGAAGATTATATTATAGTAATATTATTGTAAATATATATCCCTATTCATCAGAAATCCCTTTATATATATATAAAGGGATTTCTTTCAGTCACCCTCAGAAAATTCTTCCTTCTGTTCTGATCCTTCCGCTTGTTAAGTTCCATCTTTAAAAATATACTACCTATACCGCAACATCATCACATCAGCCGTCACATCAGCTGTCCACTTCTGAACATAGGCCTCCCCCATAAGGAAAGTTTTGTCAGTAGCTGCCATGCTTGGATTGATTGCTGCATAAGATGCAGGCGGATTAGCAATATATTGGCTTTAATGATATTGTAGCAGGGACGCTGCTGCCCATCCCTCGACCAATAAGTTCCCTTAATTGCCTCTTACGACACCCATATACCGCAAGTACTATCTTTGTTCTATGTACCTATGTAATCACTAAATTTTTGCTCGTTTCTTCGTACGCGTGGATTTCAAAATTTGAAATACTAATGAATTACTCCACTTCTAAATAGCGTATAACACACATTAAAGTTTAATTTTAAATTTAGACCTTCAGGGACACAACTGTGAAAATCGTATCCAATTTGGTGCAATAACTTTTGTTTGATGCCAAAGCAAAGATAGAAACCTATAGACAAAATTTGTAAAAGTTATTGTTTTCGCGCCTACATATCAGTTTCAATATTATTTTTCCTTAAATATCACCCACGTAGAGAATCTATCAAGAAGAGTTCCTGATAGATGTTGCTAGCAATGGGTCTGTTAAGCCCCCTTATTAATAATCCATTTCCCCTTAACAATTTTGTTAGGAATATTTGGATCATGCTAGATGAAGTTATGATTTCATGTGATGATGGCTCAAGGCCGTCTCTTATAGATGGCTATTGTGAAGATATTATGTTCTACTAAAAACTATAAATGTCTAAAATGATACAAAATTTACCTACCAATGATTCAGAATTTTCCTATTAATTCAGAAATATACTAAAATAATACGTTAATGAACTCACTTGGCGACATATAGATGCAATCTCTTATGTATAAGCTAGGGCTACCATCACCTAAATTGCCAACACCGGATAGACATGGCAAAAATCCCGGACATTTGGACGAAATATGATTTTTTCCCCGGACACTATTTTGCCGAGCCTTCTTGAATGCGGGTCTACCAGAAGGAGACTTTGTACAAAAGTCGATTGCTTGGGTACCTCTGTCCCATTCGTGTTTCTACAGTGAAGCAGTTGTGTTTGCATGGCTGTGTTTCGGTTTAAAGGGTGGGATATGGCGTAAATTAACAGGGTACAGAGGAATAACACCTGAGTCCTCATGAATGGCAACGCATGGGGGGTATCATGGACGAAACAGTATACTCTGTTATACTGCTCATGTCTATAGGCGACGGTTAACACTTTCCATCAGGTGGGCCGTCAGCTTGTTTGCCATTTTAAGTTGTATAAAAAAAATATTATGGATGAATTTGTAACTAATATTTATTTCAATTGATCACCTACCTATAAAAAAATTGGATTTCCCTTGACAACAAAAGACATTTCAAAACCACTGTCGGACGGCCCCCGGACGCTCTTCAAACTAGGACAAATCCGGGGAATTCCGGACGGATGGCAGCCCTATAGGTATATAAGTAATCATAAATCCGAAAACAATGCACTCATAAAATATCTATTACCGTATTGTTCAACGTTAACACAAATCCACAGTACCTACCTAACTATACAAAGACTACTCTTTATGCCATCAAATGTTATGGCGGTTCACACCTTCGTATACAGCCATATAAATTTTTATTAGTAGCATAAGCAAAATATATTTGAGCTTGGACTAAATGAAATGCAATGTTTTAGTACCTCGCAAACGCCACCGTTTGACATTTGCACACTTTATGGGCTAAAAATGGCTAAGAAGCATGAAATGTTTCATTAATAAAGCGGATTATACTAATCCTAGTTCTAATACACCATTGTAACGATGAAACAAAAGGACAAAGGCAAAGAATTTAAATGTTATAATCAGACCAAAAATTATAAGTATATACGTTCGATAATATATATATATATATATATATATATATATATATATATATATATATATATATATATATATATATATATATATATATATATATACATTTCAGTATGGTGTATTAGAATTGTCACGAGATAACACAATTTATTTGATGTTTTTATTAAAGGTTTAGGCAAAAATAATGAACTAGTAATCATTGTAAAATACTTTCACTAATCCTCACTTTTTTATTAGATTCGTCGTATGATATTCTTTATTATAATATAAAAAAAATTGACGTGATTTTTGTTGTCAAAAAACAGCTGGGACATGCACTAAACATTAAAATAACAAAACAAGCAATGCAGTCGTCCAAAGTTGAAGGTTAGAACAAAAGATTCTGAGAAGTTCAGAATTTTATCTCGCAGTAGACACATTCATTTTACAGGCTGAATAATGCGATTTTTCAAAATTTCAAAACTTCAAACAAAGTTATCTTCCATAAAGAGTGGGCGGCTCAAGTCGATCAATGGCTGAATTTTATCTATGATATGTGTACTTAATTCCTGCCGACCAGAAGTTGTTAACTCCAAACAGTTAAGACACTAGAGTCCCTTAAAATTCACGAAAAATGACTAAAAAACACTCATTTTCAGCACGCTGTCGCTAATGGTAGGTATTTATTGAGCAAATTATTATTTGGTATACTTAAACTACTATCTATTCACCTAAGAATTACGGTTCAATAATGGAAAAATCTTCAAAAAGAAAAAACTTTGAGGAAAAATTAATTAAGCTAAAAAAAATCAATATTTTGAAGTTTTTACTTAAATGCGCGGAATCAAGCGCTTATAAAAATCAAATTCGTGTAAATTTCATTCTTAGGAACCCTAGAGAAGAGTCCCTCAAAGTTACACTAAAATCTAAAATGGGTCAGCTTTGCCGATTAGACGATTTCAAATGGAATGACTCTATCTATAACAATATCGTCATAGTCGTAGAATACTGACGGATCTGACAAAGATTACATATATATAGATCCGTCAGTATTCTACGACTATGACGATATGTTTAGACTCTTAAAAAGCAATCACTGAACGTAAATTATAAACGAATGAGATAAAAACATTACAATTAATCTTACATTGTAATTAGCCCCCGCCTATAATTAATGACCTGTATGATAAAAACTCCGTCTTATTTATTCAGTAATGTAGTATTGTTTTATTATGTATTTATTTCTAGATTTTTACCAGTTACTTGATACGCGTGGATTTCAGAAATAGAAAAGCCAACGAAACAAACTGCTCCTAGATTGTGCATCATGATAGAACACATGCCAGATTATGAGTAAGATCTTCAGGGATATAATTGTTAATACCGCATTCAATTTGATGCAGTAGTTTTTGTGTAGTGCCGGAACAAACATGCAGACAGACAGACAAAATCTCAAAAAATTACTGTTTTATTATAACACCGGGGGCAAACGAGCATGCAGCTGAGCTGATGGTAAGTGACTACCGCCGCCTATAATCACTCGCAAGATCAAAGGCGTTATAGATGTGCTGCCGGCCTTTTAACAAGAAATATGCTTTTTTCCTGTTGCTGGAAGTTGATTCCAAAGATTGGAAGAATGTGCCTTGAAAAACGAACGGTGGAGGATTGCTACTCATCAAAACGATTGGGATGGAACTTTAGTTTGTGGCGGGTTGTAAGATGGTGATTAGCAGGCATCAATCCGAACAATTCCTCAGAGCACTCTCCATCACATATTCGATAATAGATGCATAAAGATGCAACATCTCTTTTTTAGCATCCATTGATGGTATTGGAATCCCTCATATTTTTTCCTAAATATCTCCCACGTACAGTCATCGCCTCAGTAAGATAAGTATTGGAAAAATGGAGGACTTTGAAGGGTCTTAGACATTCTAAAAAGTTCTTAAATGACAATGTTGAGGGATGGGATAAACTCATCTACAGCGGTGGCAGACAACAGGCAAGACTCATTATGGGAGCCCTAACTGGACATATGCCAATAAGGCATATACTACACAAGATGGGTCTATCTTCGGACACACTGTGCAGACTGTGCGGGGAGAAATCGGAATCCATGGAACAATTGATGTGCAACTGCGATTCGTTGGCAAGTATGCGTATGAGTCTACTAGGAACGGCTTATCTAGAGCCAGGGGACTACAGATATCTTAAACCGCGGGAAAGCGTTAGGGTAACACATAGGATTTATAAAATGATGGTATAAGGCAGGGGGAAACACAAAAGATCCTTATGAGTCGACGTGCATCGGCTTAGCTGACCCCATATGAGAAATATAAGATAAGATAAGATAAGTAATCATCCATAATTTTTGCCTGTACCTTTATATATATTTGAAAACGAATTAATGTTAAAAAATAAATAAATAAAGCACGACACATGTGTTCTCGTAAAAGTAACTTTTGTAAGTAGTAAGAAAAGTAAATAACCACTTACTAAATACGATGATAGTTCGAATATCTTTCACATAGTGTAAGCACTGCACAGGCAACCGTCATTTGTTTTATTGAATAAAAAATTAAAAAAATTTTGGTAATATTTTTTTTTATGGCATAGCTACAAATACGAAAACACAGGCGAGAAGTGTTATAATGCGTTGGCGATACAATACCTGTCCTTTCTAAATACACACCTCTCTGTGCGCATTCCTTCTTTAGACTTAACTTTAATGGGGTGCCTTTTAGCGATACATTATGTACCGTTTTGAGTTCTAGACTTATACCGAAGGATGCTACGCCGCTACTGTTGCCCACACACGGTAAAAATATACTGAACTCTGTGAACAAAACTGCTATTAGTACTGAATTGAAATCCAGTATTAGATTTTTTTTCGGCCGTGTGGTCCCGGACATAGAATAGGACAGAGGGAGATTTTGTACAAAAGTCGTTTGATTGAGCACCTCTGTCCCATTCGTATTTCTACCGTGAAGCAGTTGTGTTTGCATGGCTGTGTTTCGGTTTGAAGGGTGGGATAAGGTAGTGAATTTACGGGATATAGAGAAATAACACCTGAGTCCTCAGGAATGGTAACGCATGGGGGGTATCATGGGCATACAGCAGTACTATGGACATAACAGTATACACTGTTATGTCCATAGTACTGCTCATGTTTATAGGCGACGGTTACCACACGCTTGACACACGGATTAGCAATCACAGTAAGAATTTAGTGATGTTTTAAATAGGATGCTGTTGCCTATCGCTCACCTATTGAGTTCCCTTAGTTGCCTCTTACAACGGCCACGGGAAAGGACAAGGCGACCCATTCTATGCTGGGAGTACACGACAAAGTAACGGTTAGTCACAAATAACATAGCGCTATTACTAGCAGTTAGGTATAAATAGTACAAGAGTACCTTAAATCTGTCATTATAATACTTATTAGATAATTTACAATACCTTTAGGCGTTTTAGGCACCCGGCCTTTAGTTTTGATGGAGAGAACCGGCGGCTTCAACACTTTGAGGTCGGACGACGTCAGTGTGTCGAAGTTGTACTCGTATCTCTTCCTGGACTTCCACGTGAAGTTTACGTAACCCACCTCCGAGGGTATGACGGGCAGCTTCAGCGAGAAGTTCGGGTCCAGTATGTACGGCGATATGTGGCCGTTCATTATTGCGAATATTTGCATTGATATGCCTGTAATATTAATTACATTCAGAATCATTCTTCCTTTGTTACGATTTTTTTTTTAGATTAAAAAGAAAAACATATAAATATAATAATAAATAAATATATAACGAAATGAATGTAGCAGTGTTTGTGCAAAGGACCTAACTCAGCATACGAGTATATCGCAGTTTCATATCTGAAGCTACAACATTGGTTTTCTGCAGGCCCTAATCCGTGAGTTACACGGACACATGTGTGCAAGAGATGTTACGTATAAATATATAAGTATAATATATATAAAATAGTGATAATTTGTGACATTTTTCTGTATCTTACAAGTTCAGAGACATATTCACTGTGATAATCATTTTGGCTATCTAAACTCTATACCAAATACAATATTTCCTTATTTTGTTTGGGATAGATAGATAACACCGATAAGGCTGACATATAAATTTTATTGACATTATTTTACTTTCCTTTTAAACTTAACTTTGCTGATTACTCTGGTTGAGTTATTTATTTATTTAATTCTTTATTGTACACACCAGTTATAAGAATATGACAGATGTAATCAAATGTACAAACGCGAGCTTAACTCTAATAGAGTTTTCTTCTAGCAAACCCAAAGTGGAAAAGAGCATTAATGTCAGTTACTATTTTAGTTGCTCTTCTAATACTGTTAATATTTCGTTATAGTCATATTTTATGTATTTAGTTGTGTCAGCAATCAAAGTTGTCAGCAAGCAGGCCTTACCCAGAGGGAGACTTTGTACAAAAGTCATTTGCTTAGGTACCTCTGTTTTATTCGTGTTTCAACCGTAAAGCAGTTTTGTTTGCATGGCTGTGTTTCGATTTGAAGGGTGGAATATGGCGTGAATTTACAATGTACAGAGGAATAACACCTGAGTCCTCAGGAATGGCAACGCATGGGGGGTATCATGGGCGAAACAGTATACTCTGTTATGTCCATGGTACTCCTTATGTTTATAGGCGACGGTTACCACTTTACATCAGGTGGGCCGTTAGCTTGTTTGCCATTCTAAGTTGTATAAAAAAAAAGGCAACCAGGTCCCACAAAATTTTAACAATATCAATTTGTACCAAATACGAGTATAAACTATTAAATTAAATTGTTACACTTATAAATAAATAACATTGACCTAACCTACTTTTTTTTTTTTGTATGTTAGCCAGCATGTGAATCATTCTGCAACGATTCAAATACTGGCAGTTTGGACGGTCCGCAAAAGCCCTTGGGGGGGGGGGGGGAAGGATTGTTAGCAATGGAGTTTGACAGCCCCATTTCTAGGTGTTTGATAGGCAATATGCCTTATTAGGTCGCCCTCCACGTGGTTCCCTCTGGAAACCATCGTGAACAATTCCTGTTGAATTCGTCACGATGGGCTAACTGATCTAGTTCATTTTCACCTATCATCCTTTACTGGTGCCCCGCCGGTGTATACCGATAGCGCGGGTGGGGTTACCATTCCATTATCACCTATTAAAAAAATACCCTTAGGATAGCGTTAGAGATGGCCAGGACCCTACGCATCAGAGTTTATGCTTGCCACCTAAGCTGTATAAAACGGATACGATGAGTTACCACTGAACATGCGGACTTGTCGCTCGTCTATCCACAGCGATATGTCGGAGTGCTGGCGTGCCTCTGGATCCCTATGCCCGCGGCGGCCGGCGCCTAACGTCAGCGACATAGCAAGCGCGAGCCCCGCCACCAAGCGCGCGCCTGTCGATGCCGACCGCCACATTGTCACAGTCGATGCCCTGCAACCAATAGGTAAAATAATAAGAACAGGCAACATGGTGTACTAGGGAGGAAAGGGATTGTTAGTAATGGAGACTAAAAATCTTATTGCTAGCAATATACCCAACCAGGTCGACCTGCTCGTGGTTTCCCCTGGAAACTATCATGATCAATTCCTGATGAATCATGATAGGCTAACTGGCCTGTTTCCATTCTCATCTATCACCCTTCACTAGTGCTCCGCCAGCGTATAGCGCAGGCGGGGTTACCATTCCATTTTCACCCTTCAAAGAAAAACATGGTATACTAAAAGGTTTTCTTTGGAGTCGCCGAACCAGTTTCTGTAGAAGTCTAGGGCGTGCGTAGACGAGATACGATGGTCAGTGTAAAGCAAGTTGAAGTAATTATGTAATTTCGGCTGATTTAATTCTTTTTTAATGGATGATAATGCAATGGTAACCTCACCTACACTGGCGGGACACCAGTGAAGGATAATAGGTGACGATGAAACAGCTCAGTTAGCTCACCGTGACAAGTCTAACGATAAATAAATCACCATGGTTTTCTACTTGGAAACCATGGTGATTTATTTATCGTTATTTACCTGGAAACCTTCGTGATTTATATGATAACCACGAGGAGATCGACATAACAGGGTATATTGCTAGAAAAGGGGCTGTCAATCCTAATTATAAATAATCCCTTCTCTCCCTGATTTCTAATTAGGTACCTATACCACTGCAAGGAAGGTAAACTCAGCACACAACTCTACTAGTTTTTTTGGGCATATTGACTAACTGAGGTGTAAATGTCTATGTACTTTTCTACTCCATATAGTACGTTTACTTTCTTTATAATTTCATAGTATATTTAACATTTATATATGTATAAATATATTCTTATTTATGTAGGTTTATATGTATATGTATGTATTAATATTGTATTTTTCAAATATATGTATATAATGAATTATAATTTATGTAAATATTTATTTTAATTTCTGTTTTGCTCTATTACTGCTCACCCACTACTTCCTATGCCACTGCGTTAGGTTGACTGGAAGAAATCTCTTCTAGAGATAAGTTCGCCTTTGCTAACATTGTTATTAACTTATTGTTGTTACTGTATGTATGTTTTAGTGCAATAAAGAATATATATAATATATAATATATAATATATATATATATATATATATATATATATATATATATATATATATATATATATATATATATAGTGATCGGTTTAGATTTAGTACTAAAATATGCTATTCGTAAGTTAAGATACAATCTACTCGTGTATAAAATTTTATTGAAATTCATTCAGTAGTTTTTGCGTAAAAGTGTAACAAACATAAATCCATCCAACAACTCAACGTTATAAACTTTCGTATTTATAATATTAGTAGAATTAATGATATCTAAACAAGCTCACTATCTCCTATTAGATCATAAACATCACAGAAATTATAGAATATACGTTTCTGAAAAAATATTTATTTATTTATTCAACAATTTATTACACCAATATTACAGGACATGTTGAAGAATTTTCAATAAGTATAGTGGAGTACAAAAAGCGGTCTTATTGCTAAACAATCTCTTCCAGACAACTTATGGGTAGAAAGAATTAAAGGATAAATAGGTAGGAGGCACGTTAAATAAAAATAGATCTAAACATGTGTAAATAAACACAATTATATACATACAAAAATGTATACATATATACATATAAATATGCATTTATAACACACATAATTCTGGTAGGAAATAAGGAGGATTAAGTGATTTAAGGATAGGTATTGGGATTTAACTAAGTTTTTAAAAATAGCCAGAGATTGAATATCATATTGAATGCAACTTGTCAACTCCTATAATTCTTTAAAATACAAATTTCATGGCTTGTAGAGAAAAGGAACGCCCAACAATAACCGTGTAAATGGCATAAAATTTGTTGGTCAACCATACAAGGGGCATTTCGAAATGGTATCAACAAAAAAATAGTATTATCAGAGTTAATTGATTGGGCGCTTATGGGACGTGCCTCCACAGGTATTTATCGTGAGAAAAGCCCGAGCGTGGCGCGTAAAAAACCGACAACTTCATTAAATATCCCCTGTCAAAAGTAATGTCTTCTACTTTTTTTTTTTTTCAAGCTCCCGATGTCTAATTATAGTTACGAAAGGTGTTAACAAAAAAGAAGACTGCGCGCAGGGATGCTCAACTGTTTTGTCTATCAATAGATTAGAATTAATATTTTTAAACGACTTTCAAAACAGATAATTATCTATTCGTCTACATGTTTTCTTTGTGTTACGAGATATAAATATGAGTTTTATTGTCCATTTTTTAATGTATTTTTAATCGTTTGGTTAAAAAAAAAAATCTCCAGTGTTTGCTATATGCTAAATTTATTAAGATTTGATTTAGTTTAAAGTACTAGCGTAGTACTTAATTTTTTTTTTTTTTTTTTACAACACAGGGGGCAAACGAGCATGCGGCTCACCTGATGGTAAGTGACTACCGCCGCCCATGATCACCCACAACACTAACGGCATTGCAGGTGTGCTGCCGGCCTTTTAAAAAGGAATATACTCTTTTCTTGAAGGTTATGTTGTCGTATCGGTTCGGAAATACTGCTGCTGGAAGTTGATTCCAAAGAATGGTTGTGCGTGGAAGAAAGTGCCTTGAAAAACGCACGGTGGAAGACCGCCACTCGTCCAGATGATTGGGATGAAACTTTAGTTTAGTTTAGTTTTAGTAATTGTTATTTACCAAAACATTTGAAGGGAAGTCTTGCTTAGTGTTTAGGCCAGGGAAGGTTTCTAAATTTAATATTGGATTTTATAAACGATTTTTACGCTCAATGTTGTGTGTGTTGCATTATTATCATATTTTATGCTACAATTGTGTAAAGAAGACTTTCAAATGGAACAATACAATTGTCGGTAACAAAAATCATACAGTCTAACTCCCGTATTCGGGGGGAAAGGGATTGTTAGTAATGGAGACTGAGAATCCCTTGCTAGCAATATACCCAACCAGGTCGACCTCCTCGCGGTTCTCCCTGGAAACTATGATGGGCTAACTGGCCTGTTTTCATACTCATCTATCACAATTCACTGGTGTTCCGCCAGCGTATCCCGTTAGCGCAGGCGGGGTAACCATACCATTTTCACCCATATCTATATATTGGCCAAATAATGGATATTTTAATATTTCTTTTGCAATTTAATCCCATAATAAAAAATCCCACCGACATTAATATAGATATCTGACTGATATGGGCGATATCGAAATGGGATGACCTTTATTCGTCCCTTAAAGTGCAAATGAATTTAAATATATAAATATTAGATATTGGAATGATACCAATGTTACCCATGCCTATCACTTATAGTAGGTACGTGTTTTTTTTTTAAATGGGTGATATGATAATGGAATGGTAACCCTGCCTGCGTTAACGGTATACGCTGGCGGAGCACCAGTGAGAGATGATAGATGAGTATGAAAAAAAACAGGCAGGTCAGTTAGCCCATCGTGATGAATACACTTGGAATTCAGCACGATGGTTTCCAGGGGGAACCACGTGGAGGTTGACCTGCTTGGGTACATTGCTAGCAATGGGGCCTTTAGTTTCCATTACTAACAATCCCTTCCCTCCGTACTCATGACGTTTTGCTAAGTATAAACAATTGTAATTTGTTCTTTTTTAAATAATTATATAATAATAACAAACACAAGTCATAACATAATTGTTATAATAGCAATAAATTAGTTTAAATTATACATATAGAGGTCATCAGATAAACTGCACTCGGTACATGATAGCAGTAGTGGTTTGGCGCTTATTGTATTACAAATATTATCGGATCACGAAATACGGAAATATAAATTGAACCGATTCAGTTAGAGAATTAAATAAAAAAAAAAAATCCTTTTTTCAAACGATTTAAAATAAGAATTTAACAATATGTAACAACTAACCTTGGCTATTATATGTTAGGTTCGAATATTATTTATAACAATAACATATGAAATATTTCCAATTTCTAATTTTTTTTTTAAATTTATTTAAGTCACAACTTTTTAGAGTTTTTTTTTTATACAACTTAGAATGGCAAACGAGCTGACGGCCCACTTGATGGAAAGTGGTAACGTACCATGGACATAACAGAGTATACTGTTTCGCCATGCGTTGCCATTCCTGAGGACTCAGGTGTTATTCCTCTGTACCCAGTAAATTCACGGCATACCCCACCGTTCAAACTGAAACACAGCCATGTAAACACAACTGCTTCACGAAGTACAACGAAACACTTAATACCACAGATACATCTATCAATTATTAGTCTTAATATTGCTGTTTGTTACATCTAGTTAAAACTAAAAAAAAAAAAAGAAATTATCTCTTCTCTTTTTATTTAAGAGTTTTATACATTTACTTATTTATACATTCTCTTCCAGCCAGCTCTATGCCAGGCCATATCTTTGACGTCCCTACATGGAAATGACACCTAGTATTTTTTACAATATTACTTGATTTTATTTGACAATATTTTAAAAGTTATGTTGTATAAGTATGGTATTATTTTATGGATAAAATTTTTTTTCATTTTTTTACTTTAATTTGTTACACATGGATTTTATATGTTTTTATCATTTTTTTTTCAAGTATTGGCATTTCAAATTAAAATGTGTATTACAAAAAAAAATTCAATTATGGCAAAACCAGTTATTTTGATTTAAAAATTAAGCTACTGAACCGATTTTGATAAAATTTCTATAGGACCAGTCTGTAAACATATATTTGCAGACAAAAATAGATATTTCCAAATCGGTTTACAACTGACAGATTTATGAAGTAACAAACTTAAAAAAAATACAATCGAATTGATTCTTTCTTTTTGAAGTTGGTTGAAAAAGAAGGATATTATAAATTCCAGCGTATTTATTTTATATTATATATGAGAAAGGAATTACCGCGATCGTTTATGTAAACTATAATGTTTTACCTGGGT